GAAGATCGAGGTAAGACAGCAATGCTCATCATTTCATCAAACACCGGACTATTTGAGAATATTAACAGAGTCTGACGTAACTATGTTGCATTTGATTTATCAGTTATTAGTGATTTATTAGCTCATCATGATGACTCTTTAATAAAAGGCATGTGAGTAAGAGACAGCAGTGTAAGACACTGTAAAATGTTATACTTCATCACGACAAAATGACCGAGACTCTATGAAAGAAGGCGAATTCAAAAATAGCACTGCCCTTTTGTAATGAGGTTGTACAATTAAGGTGAAGCTTTTCATTTTATTGTAACTAATAACTTTGCCTACTCTTGTAGTCTCATTGGAAAGAATGTGACGTGTTCAGGCTTTTAACGATGCTTCTCAGCTTAACAAGCAGCATTGTAACTATTGTTGCCCGACCATAATGTCTCAACCCAAAGACAACATCTATGATTAGCTATCTGCAGTTTACGGGCTACTGGAGGGCTTTGGTGTACAGCCAGCATGGCTTTGTATTTACTGAGATCACTAATCACCTAATAAATGAAAAAACATAGTGAGGGACATCCTTCCACCTACAATAAAACATTCCTATCCTGATAATGATATGAGGACCGACCCTGTTTTTCATGCTTTCTCAGTGTTTAACGATCATGAGGAAAATGTAAACCACATGCCGTGACCATCCCAACCTACGTAAACACTAGAAGGGCACTGTCATCAAGAGAACACAAAGAAACACAGGGATTGTTGTCATTGTGCAGCCCACCATTCATTTCCAGACATTTTCCTTAATTTGTGAATTGTAAATCTGTCAGTATCTATTACCACAATTTTTTTCAAGTTCATTTATTTATTTGATTTTTTTCCATCCAGCATGTGACAGCAAGTGCGCGATACTAAAATAAGGCAGCCTCATCCATCTCATAGAGTAAGAGGCTGCTGATGCATAGTCAAGGTGCTTCAAATTTAGGGGAAAGCATCACAGGGGAGAGGAAGCAGATCCACCTCAGTCCCGCATAATGATGGCTATAACTTTGCTTTAATGAGGACTCCAAGGCAGCAAAAGACAGTAAAATATACGGACAAATGAACATAGGACCAGATATACAACAAGTAGGTTGACCTTTTAGCTTGTCATGGTTCGCATTTTGATATTGTCAACTTCTGGTCTGCCAGAGAAAGAACCGGGATAAGGAGAGGAAACAGAGTACAGACATGCTTCACATTAAAGGATATATAATATAAAATTCACCCTGCTGTGAGTTCTGTGGGAGCTCTGTTACATCTGCTGCTGATGTAGGGTACGTTTCCCGACATGGGCTGAAACCACCAAGCAACAGTCAGATTTCCCTGAAAGTGTCGTCACATGCATGAGATATTTTCTCATTGTCCCATGAAGTGCTGTACATGTCATCGCCTCTCACCCAGCATGTCATAGAAACAGACGAGTGCATGAACGACGATTTGACATTCTGCGTATCTTTCATATTCACTGAAGCTGAGGATTCCCCTTGTTTTGTTAGGAATGATCAACACATTTGTTAAGTTTGAATGAGGAAGGAGAGATGAATGGATAATGGGATGGAGAGGCTATCAACCGACTACATTTATTTTTTACAGTTTCATTCAGAGTAACTAAACAGCAGCTGGCTGTAGTCGTAACTTCACAGAAAGGACGGGAGCAGGGATGTTTTTAATGGCTGTGATTGGTCGATATTTTCAACTAAACAACGAAGGGCCAAAGCAAAAAGATCTTTTCATGTACCGGATGTTCCCAAAATTAGTAAATGCACTTGTAGACTAGTTGTCAGCTGAAATACAAACTTAAAGCTTGATGACATTTGTGACAAACATGTTGACAACTTTGCTTTTTGAGTGATTGGTCAGTAGGTGTTTGTGTGTGAGTGTGTGTGTGTGTGTGTGTGTGTGTTACTGCATTCCTCCGTGCTGGTTTGGAATCAGTTTACGTATATGTCCAAATCAAGGAGTCGGTAATTGGGTCCAAACATTTGAAGCTGATCTCAGATAAGCGACTAACAGTCTGCTCATGCCGATCATGATACCACCATACAAGCATACCGGACATGCAAACTCCTGCTGTTGCATATCGTAGCATTTCTGTAGTATATCACAGAATTCATGAGAAATACTATATTGCTATTAATGTACAATGTGACTCCCATTTAAAGTATAAGAGGTCTATGGACCTCAGACAAACATGGAAGTAGTTTTATTTATGCTATACCATATGACAGCACTCTTCAGTCACTGATTTCAGAAGTATAAGCAATACGGTGAGGGGAAAGGTCTTTTGAGGCTCACTATGGGGAGATCAGATCATTCTTAATCTTCATCTTCCTTTCTTCTTTTCGTTCTTTCATAAAAATCTGATTACAGATGATTTTCCCCTCCACTCTGTGTTAAATAATACATTTCCAAATTCCTCTTTCTAATGACAAAGACTGCAGAGCTTTGTACTTGTTAAAAAGAGTCTTTCAACGCGATGACGTGAAAATTCAAGGCAACTTGACTCATCTTTGTAGTCATTCCCTCTGTAGAACATAAGGGAAAGTGTCCTCTCTGATCATGGAAATGAGATGGGGAGAAAGCTGTGCTGCGGGACCAAATCTGAGGCTGAACATTATACATACACTAATTTTCCAAGGTTACATCTTAACTTCCAGAAGAAGTGTAAACCCTCTGTAATGACTGTGTCATTATGGAGCATCCGGTGATTTATTCATCTCTCTCCTCGGTCCAAGGAGCTGTGTGCTTCTAGAAAGCACTGTAGCAGAATGACAGATATTATCTTTGTTGTGTTGCCCCTCAGTTCCAACAACATAGTCCTTGTTCTTTGTTCTAAAACTGGCAAATATGATATTAATTAATTCATGGTCATCACTACTCCTCAATAAACACACAATTTACTGACCACACCTTAAAGCAGTTCTAGTAAATACTTTCACAGTAACCACAGTTCAACTGGCCATGTGTAATGGGAAATGTATCATTAGTGACAAACCCAACTGTACAGTCCCCTCAGATTTAGGATCACTTTTAGCTCACTGGTTTGGTTTTACTGCCTGCATCTCGTTTCGGTTCAATCTTACACCTTTCATGAGCATTATTTAAAGATGAAGCTGTTTTCAGCAAAAAAGCTCTGATTTACTCACTACACACTACCTGCAGCACCAAATGGCAGACCAACAAAATGAGCAAATAGCTAGACAACGTTTCTTTAAGTAAACCAGTTTGCATGTTGGGTAAAAAGAAAGACCAAAAAGCGATACTTGTCCAACATGTCAAAGGGTAGAATTAAAAGTTCAAGCCACATTTGTTCTGCACAAACACAGCTACACCTGGCTCCTCGGCTTCAGCTCCAGTTTCACTTCAACAATCCCACAGTCCTCTGTGTTCCCGCAGAAACTCGAAACCTTATATATTTAGAGACAAATAGCCGCTGTCAGCGTAAAGTATTGCCAACCTTGACACCTGGGGTCTGTGGTGATGGTCGTGGGGGTACGTAGAAGCTGACGTGTGTGTTCTGTTTGTGTGCACTTAGCTGCTTGCGTTTTAGTGTAAAGATACATATGTAACATGAAACCAAACTGAAACAGAATGTTTTTTTCTTTGCTTGCATTGAAGTGACCATAATGCAGTCTGAAGTGATTTTTGCTTGAGACGCTCGCGTTTTTTCTGTCGGCTTGAAGGACTTAGCCTTAGCGGTGGCCTTACAGACAGGAACCTTTCGGAGAGAATAGTACATAAATGTCAACTCAAATCAAGACTTCTTGGTGTCTCACTGCCAATCATCCAACCAACAATACAAGCTCCAAAGGACTCCTGTGTTTATCATCACCATTTTCAAAAAACGCACACCCCAGAGGGTTTTACCCAGGAAATAGAGCAGCATTTTTTTGTCTCCATCTTTAATGGGATCTGTATGCCACGTATGCCGTGTCCTTTGAATCCAACTTTGCCCTAAATTGTATTTTGTCAAATATAACCTCGCCCCAGTGGTTCCCTCTATAAGCTGACTCTACGTTTTCCTTGGCTTTGATCTTTCCCACTTGAATCCAACCTTTATCCAGTAACTGTGCTAAAGACTCTATACTGCTTCTGCTAAAGAGATTCATTTCAACCTCCTCTACTACAGTACCCAAACATATAGAGGAAGGGGAAACACATTATTATTATTATTAATAAATGGTTATTTAATAAGTGACAAACATGTTGAGGTGATGAAGAAGCAAGGTAAGAGACAGGATTAACTCAGGAGAAAAGAGGAGTAAATGCTGCCCATTATCGCTCTCCTTCTCCACTCCCTCTCCCTTTTCATTCAATCACTTCAGGAGGAGAGGAGACACTCCCAAACTAACTGCTCATTGGCCTACAGGCATTTGGGAGAGATTTTAACAATTGAAGAGAGGGAGCGAGCAAAAGTTCCTGGCAGTGTGGAGGTCTTTGAATCATTGGCCCGAGCTTGTCAACAGGTGGCAGAGCGAGAGGCTTGGTAACGTTCAGTCCTTCGAAGAAAAGAGAGAAAGAAAAAGACAGTGGAGGAGGAGAGAGTTAAAGAAAAACCCTCACGGGTAAGGAAACAGTTTAATTTCATCAGTCTCAGTGATTTATGCATGGGACTTAATTTGTCCTGTCTTCAATATATCTTTTTTTTATTATACTATATAGTTAACGTATCAGTCCAATTAACCTGAAGGTTACGCTTTTTGTATTTTATTTTTATTACATTTTTCAGTTCAATGTAAGATTAAGATGAATTTATTTTAAGACACTTCTAAACATGCTGCTATACTAAATGGAAGAAAATTCATCAAGTGAAAGAAATATCTCTGCTGACAGTTGGTATTTTAAAGTTGTTAATTCCGTTGCTCTTGTTTATTTCTACATCATCCCAATGGGACCAATTACTTGTTTTCTGCCCTTTGGGTACTCTTTTTCTGATTGACACTACAAATCTCAGCTATTTCTTTCTCTCCCATCTCTTTCTCCTCCTCTCTATCTATCTGAACAGTAGTTGTATTTCCCTCACTCTCTCCTTTTCTCTTTATCCAGGTCTCACCTCTTCTTTTATATCAAGCGGTCTATGATCAGGTAAGACTTGGATCTAACAGTCCACACCTGCGGCCTTTCACCTCGACTTTGTTGTCAATTATATGAAAGTCTAAAGTTTAACTTGACACCAGGAATTTATGAAGTGTCCCGGGACTGATGCTCCTCTTATGTTAGTTTGGGTTTGCATGGCAGCACTTAATCATTAAGAACGTTGTGGAAATCTTCATCAGTGATGAATATTGATATGGGATGTGGTGTGAGACATTGAATGCATACAAAAACCTTGAAAGCACTGTATGTTGTTCAGAGGTGGAAAGTTTATTTAGTACTGTACTAGAGTACATTTGAGGTACTTTTAACTAAGCATTTTTATATTATGCTACTTTATACTTCTATTTCACTACCTCTCAGACAAACATTGTAATTTGTACTCTAGTACATTTATTTAACAGCTTTACTTATTTTACAAACTAACCTTTTAACTGATAATAACTATTTTATAAGTTACGATGAATTGCTATAGATTAAACTACCCAACATTTAAGCACCACTACCTGTTGATGAGTGAGTCATAAATCCACCAATAATATAATAATATTGCACTGACAGGGGTGATTCTGCATAATGAGCACTTTATCTTTAGTGAAATTTTGAATGCAGGACTTTAACTTAAAATTGAATATTTTCATAGTGTGGTGATGATGTGAATACTTCCTCCACCACTGAAGTTGTTTTTTCGTAGTCTGTTGCTGAAAGAATCCTGTATTTTTTAAAACATATTATTGGAGGAAATTTGGATCAGTTTAAAGACCATTTGAACTCATAAATGTTCAGACAATATTGTATAAATTAACACTTTTATTTTCCCTTCGGAGCAGCTGTGACAGCCTTTAATTTCTGCAAAAGTGTATGTGAGTTATTATTTATGATTTGTATACCCATTTCCATATTGTATTGAAGATAAGCTTATATTGTCTGTCAACAAAGCTGCCTCCACACATTTCTCTCTATGATAATAACATAAATATTCATAATAACTATGTGCCGGTGTGATAGGTATTCTCACAGGGCTGTCGATCGAGTAGATTTACCTTTAATGCTACCGTGCTGGCTCGGGGAATACACAGAAGCCCTCGCAAAATGAGCTACAGATGTGAGCTTTCAGCCATGCAAAATGATAGAGAGAGAAAGAGAGAGAGAGAGAGCGAGAGAGAGAGAGAGAGAGAGAAAGAGAGACACAACTCTGAGTGGGTGGCTTGTAAAAAAGTGTTCAGATTGCATAACCATGACTGCTTTCACAGAAACCTCACAACTCCAGGTTATTTCATTTCCTTTCACTGATTGAAAATGTCCCCAGGGCACACATTTGTATTATTTCAAAAACCTATCTCTGTCTAGAACTTAGGCTTAGGTTTTTATTAATGCTCAGGTTGTGTTATTTTTCTTTCTTTTCACTTGGTTATGCTTTCATCGGACAGCCCCACTTAAGGGGAATGAAGCCTCTATGGTTTCTGATGAAGTGAGGGCCTTATCGAGGGCTACTTGTGGTCTGCATGGCAGCGGGAGGCAGACAGAATTGTGAAGATATGAGCTCTGCTCTGCTTTCAGCTTCGTTTTATTCATTTTAGCTTCCCCGTTCTGTATGCAAGCTGCTGTGGAGGAAGGAAAGGGAGAAGGGAAGGGAATGTCCACAAATTTGCCACTCTCAAACTTTGTCTCTCTGTGCATGTCTGTATTCCCGATACAAGTTTTCTCTCTCTCCAGCTTTTTGTCTCGGTTTCACTTGTGGACTTCCATTCCCATTCCCTGTTTATCTCAACCCACTGTTCAGAGAACACAGATTTTTTAGAAAGACACACACAGACCCAAATACAGCTTGTCAAGAGACCTTCAGATTGGATCCAGACAGCATTGTCTCTGGGTGGTTAAATTGCTGTTGTTACATGTGTCTCTGTAAGTTATAAATGCACATGTTGTACACATACTGTACACACATGGGCTGAGTCACACACACTTCTTTCTCCCGTATAAAACACTGAGTACACATCACAGGTACTCAACACACATTTTACAGGCCCATTGACGTAGCTCTGCTTTGACATAGAGAAGTTATTGTCAGGAAGGAATTTTAAACTGTGTTTATGGACATATTGAATTTTACTTGAGATGGTTTGAAAGCCAGGTTGAAATGCAATCTGAATACCCCGTGTGATGAGTGAGAGCGTCCACTGGACTGAAGCCATTCTGTTTCCCTGCTTTAGTATTAAGCATGTTGTCCCAAAATGAGAAATGACAGTCAACTTTTCACAATAATTGCGCAAAAGCCTTCTGTCCTGCTTTGTGTCACGACAGCCGGTTAATGCTGCAGACATCTAGTATTTCATTCAGTTATGGCTTCTCTTTCTTGTTATTTCACTGTCCAACGACCTGTTCCCTTCATTCATTAATATATCTTCAAGTAGTCTATACAATGTATACTATACTGGATTACCTCATTCCTCCCATCCATCCAGCCATCCATAATTTCTCTAATTCATCCATTGATCCATTTGTTCATCAATTCATATATCCATCTATCTATCCATCCATCCATCATTTCCTCAATTCGGACATGCCCTTTGTTGCTTTGTGTACAGGTGCCAAAAGCAATAACAACAACAGTGGACTACTTGTTTGTTTATGTTTTGTTAGCACTGCTAAGTCTAATGACTACTTTCCATCTTAACTCAGTATTGCTGCACCACTTTTTATGGACGAACGGAGACAGATATCTTTATTTACTACTGCCAAAGTAGTAACTGGTATTTGCCGTATCGTCGTTGCAGCTTTTGTATCGCTACCTACTGGCACAGTGAGTGTTTGGAGTCGTTTGGACCAACATTTTTTTAAACAGAGAGGAAAAAGGTCAGTTTTCAAAACTATCTGTTTATGTATTGAAATATCTGTCTACGTGTAACTCAATCATCCATCATCCATCCATCAATCAGTTCTCTGGCAGTAACTGTGACTGCTCCACTGCCCTCTCTAGTCCCCATTTCCTCTCTCCATTAATCCCTCCATCTGTCTCTCTTTCACACCGGGACATTCTTAGCTCTCAGTAGCGGCCCTCTGCTATGCTTGGAAGGTCACAGTGCTATCTCCTCCTGGAGAAATCCGAAAAGGGCCTGAAAATGGCAAGCATCAAATAAAAACCCCGACAGGGAGCTATAAACATGCTTGTTAAGCTTCTCTGTTTGCCAGTGGTCAGTGCCATTCCACATGGCTATACTTTACTGTCTATAATGTGGCTAACTGCTAGACTGTCACCAACTTAATCACACTCTCTCTATCATTCCCTCTCTCACCTATTCACTCTCTCTCACTCACTTAATCTCTCTCTCAATCCAGTCTTTTCTTCTCTATTTCCCTTACTTTCCATTTGTCTCCCCCCTTCTCTTAATGTCTTTTATACCTCATCTCTAGTTTGCCCTCCAAAGTCTTGGACACTGATTAAAGACCCACGAACGTTTTGGCCACCACATAGGGTGAAAAAAGCAATTTCCCAGTGATGTCATAGCTTGTATTTCTTGCACAGGCATCGGTCTCCAACCTCAAGCTTTTGACCAGCAGCAATCAAATAGACTAAAAGAGCTAAAATAAGCAAATAAAGTCGGCTGTATTGAGTATGTACAAGTTAGAAACAGGTCATGATAATTACATGTGTATCCGAAGGAGTGGAGACTTTTGAATCACAGAACTACTTGAGTTACAATCTGTGTAAATCATCAGAGGGAGGATTCATTGGCCAAAGCTTATTTAACTGAAAACAAATTGTGTCCGATAGAGTAGCTTTTCACCATAGCTATTTAAAAAGAAACTCAAAAGATCATTTCTTAGAATCTCTGTTTATCTGATGATGGTATCAAGGGAGGAATGGCAGGTTTTAGATCAACTTGTTGACATTTTAATGTTCTGGCGAATACTCACGCAGTGTCCAGTGGGACTTTTAGGATCTGTTTTTCTCTCTGCAGATTTTCTACTTTTCCATCTGTTTCAGTCTTTGATGCTCCAATTGGTCGACTTTAAGCAGAAATCACAATTATTTTACTACATTTTACGAAAATACAAATTGTTCTATTTAACTTTTATAGTTTCAGCAGTGAAATCGTCTTTGCTCAAAATAACAAAGAATGAAGAAATAATTTTGTCTTTCATCACAATGCCATGCAACTAAATTCTGGGAGAACACTTTCCGGTTTCTCTTTCCCGTTTCTGTCTTTGGTTACATACACTGTGTCCAGTATTGTAACAACTTTGGGGTTTTGCAGTGTATGGATATTCCATTGAATTATCCTGTATGATTTCAAACAAATCCAACATATTTATTTAAGTATGTATGCTACTATATTGCAGTTTTCCAGCTGTCAAGCATCACACAGCAGAGCCCGCAAAATTTATACTGAGCTTTCTTTTCAGTCACTCTATTAGAGGGTTTGTGTTTCCATAGACCACACAGGATCAGCACAGTTAGATCTGAAGTTTCTTCTGCCACAATTCAAACTTTTACACCCGAATGTTAAATTCAGACCAAAGTCCAAAAAAGACGTACTGAAGGTTAAAACAGGCCTACTATTTTGAAAGCATGTAATTTGGTTTCCTGGAGAAACCATTTTCTGCTACAAGGTTTTAAGTTCACATGACATCACTGTCATTAGCAACAATGACATCATCACCAAGGACAAGTTTCTGAAGCTCTGAAACGCCTGACTGAGCACAATTCATGGTTCAGACGAGAGCAACATGGTCTCTGGCAAAGTGATGACGGCTCACTTTCTACTGCCTTACTGTTTAATGAGAGCACAACACACACATAGACACACACCCACACACACCACATTGACACAATGGTTCAGGTGTCCTGAGATTAAATATACAGTAGTGTGCCCCACTGAATGTAATGTAACTTGTGCATTGTTCAGTTAGTATTTCAGTCTTCAGCTCTCTACGCTGACTGGAAAGTACAAACGTGACCCTCTTTCGACCCGGAGACTCAGGTCCAGTCAGCCATGACGACAAACATCTACAGTTTCGGTAGACTGTGACACATAGTTCATGCCAAAAGATCCAATCTCTACTAAATGTATAGGATTGCACCAAAAAACAGATGGAATATATATATGAAGATTTGTCTCATGGCACTCTGTGTGAGAATCTTAGAAGTGAACTTAATTTGCCTTACAGTCAGCAGTGAGGAGTTTAGTTTTGTTCCTATTGATGTTTCTACTGTGCAAGGTAAAAAACAGCTTTAGCGAATTGAATAACCCTACCTTTTGGGAAATGTAATCATGAGTTGAGCAGGTTTTTTTGCCAAGTTTAGCGTACCATTTTGTTATAAAATGTTGTTTTGTGTTTTTGTTTTCTATCCTGCAAAAATAACTGCTGCTCAAACCACAATCTACCCCTTTTCCTTTTTATTATTCCATGGAAACAATGCTTTAAGTTGTTAGTTTGGTAGAAGCCAATCTGTACTTTTATTGAGTTATCACAGTTTTAAATGGATTACCTTCCAGTCAGTGCTCTACATGCACAGATGCTGTCCAACAAACAGATACAACCTAAATGGTGCATTTAAAAAATAGTGTGAAGGGTCAGAAAATGTAACAATTATCTGCACTTATCTTGTCCTTTAGCCATGACCACGAGACTCCTGAGGAGGGCCCTGTGCCTACTGGTCCTACTCTGCACCGTGTCACCGTTCAGCTCCGCCACCAACCACCCAGCTCCGTCAGCCCCAGAGCAGGGAGTCACCTTCAGCAACGTCTATAAAATCGACATCCAGGGGAGCCCTAGTTGTAAACTTGAGCTCCTGCCAACCCAGGACCAAACAGGTCATGAACAAAACTAAGAATTAGAGCTAGAGATAATGCAACTGTTTTTTGGCCTCTTTCAATAGTATGAAATGCTTATTTATATTTTTTAAATATTTTTTACTGTATCATGTGTGAGCAATGTGACCCATGGCAGTACATCTAGAAGTCAAAAAAGTTAAATTGATGTTCTATTATGTAGGTCTGCAGCCAGAGACCACTACGAATGGAGAGAACGACATCATCTTCAGACACAACATCAGGCTGCAGATACCAAAGTGTGACTGCGAGGAGTCTGAAAGCTTCAAGTCACTGATGTACAGAGTCAACGGGCTGGAGGAAGAAGTCAACTACCTAAAGACCCAATGTACTCAGGGATGTTGTGGAAGCGGTGGGGCTGCAGGTAAACTGTGACACAACCTAGTTGACCCACAATTCAATAGGTAGTGGTGGAAGAATAACTCACTGAAGTAAAAGTAACAATACCACAGAGTAAAATGCTCTACTAGAAGTAAAAGTCCTGCATTCAAGATTTTACTTAAGTAAAAGCATAAAAGTATTAACAACTAAATATACTGAAAGTACCACAAGTGAAAGTACTGACTATGCATAATGTCCCATTTCATATGTATTATTATTATTATCGCTTTAATGTTGCAGCGAGAGGTGGAGCTAATTTATATCCCTTTATATACTGCTATGTAGCTCAATATAAAATAATATACCATGTATGTCATGATGATATCACTCTGTAAAGTATAGTTACTAAATGTATTGAACAAGTCTGGAGTAAATACTTAGATACTAGGGTAAACAAGTGGAAAGAGGAGTTTGATATGAGGATATGAGTAATTCAATACATCCTATAGTAGGCCTATAAAATAATTTACCTTCCAATTAAACAACAACACTTTTTGACTCTGCTCTTTCTCAAGGTGTGGACACAAGCTGTAGTGGCCATGGTACCTACCAACCCGACACCTGCAGCTGCCTGTGTAACCCGGGATGGGAAGGCCCAGATTGTTCTGTCTCGTCCTGCCCTGATGAGTGCAACGACAACGGCCGATGTGTGAATGGGAAGTGTGTGTGCCAACAGGGCTTCATGGGAGAGGACTGCAGCCAGCTGATGTGTCCAGACAACTGCAACGACAAGGGACAATGTGTGGATGGAAAATGTGTTTGTTTCCCGCACTTCACCGGCGAGGATTGCAGTGTCCAGAAGTGTCCCAATGACTGCATTGGTAACGGCCAGTGTGTGGATGGCCAGTGCATCTGTGAAGAGGGCTTTTATGGCGAAGACTGTTCATTAGGTAAGCTATTAAAATGTGTGACGACGCGAACGTTTCTGTGTACCTTATGTATAATAACTCGTGAAGTAGGTGGTTATTGAGGCTTGGTGATGTAGGAAGTACTGCATGAATAACAGAGTTGGTGAACTTTTACTAACGCTAGGTTAGCTAACGTTAACTGAAGTGCTAACGGCGAATACACTAGCAAGTAACATCATTCGCAACATCTCCAGTCTTTTAACAGGAAACTTTTATAGCGGGTTAAATTGAAGTGAATAGTGCAACACAGCTAATAATCCATGATAGCGTCCTCAATTTTCAGCTCTACATTCGCTCAAGGGGCATTACGACAACTTCCTGAAGTTGAACTTGAAACACTTAGTGAATGTAGATTCACTTCGCCCCTTGCTTGTGACCTATTGCACCCATTGCAGCAAATTTCTTGATTTCACCATGAAATTTTGCCATTTTATTTGATGTGTAACCGGGCCTTAAACTGGACTAAATCTGCATTGTTGTTGACTATGATCAGACAGTCTGACAATTCTGGTGAGAACGAAAAAATATTCACACCATATGTTTCTGTCTGATCCTTGCAGAGTGAGAAAAGGATCATTCATACAGGTTTTAATAATAATACTTTTTTTTGGTTATGCCAGCTACCAGTGACATTTCCAATGTGTCCTTAAGGGATGAATGGTGTCAGAGTACGCATATTCCATCATGATCTACTTATGGGTGAATTATATATCTGGGGTGACGCATAATAACTCTTTATGACCCAGGCTTGCATTCAGTTTGATCTGTGTTTCTCGTGAGGATTAAGATTCACATTTCACCCTTTTTCTGGAGTCACCTCTGTGGCTCTGCTGTTATTAAGCTGTGAATGTTAACTGCCATCTCATGGAAAAAACACAGAGGCTACAAGGAGCTCTGGGACCATTAATAACTGTTCACCTTAATATAAATCTTCTTCCTATTTCATTTAGTAAAAACTTTTAGGATATACCTGAATGAATTCTTAAAGCTTGCAGCAATTAATTCATGCTTGTACCAGCTTATTGGTTTGATTCCTGCTGCAGCATTTTTTTCTCATCTACCGGTTGGTAATATTCCTTTTTTACAGCAGACATTTGAACCTGTCATAGCAGGTAAAGCTCAAGCGTTACTAGTAACATTAGCGACGGCTCCGTTCTATTCAAGTGCTCCAGCCGTGACAGTGAGTCAGCATGCACAATACAAATAAATTAAATTCAGCCATCATTCATTTTATTCATTTAGTATTTACACTAGTTTTTTTTCTATTATGTCAAAATTTCATGTCAAAAGTCAAAAGTCAAAAGCCAGTATATTCAAACAGGTGTTCAGGGTTGTCTTTTTTCTTCCTGTCATTAGTCACTCGCTATGCTGCGAATATAGTATTTAATAGGAATCCTTTTAAATCATTTATTAAATCCAACTAAGTTGACTTTTTACATTTGCAAGTAACTAAAATGACTTGCTACAACCCTAAGATCTAACAATAATATAATAATACATTTTTTTTATAGAGAGCTTTTCAGAATACTCAAAGACACTTTACATTAAGATCACTCTAAAGATATAAAGATCTGTAGAAACACTTCAGTTTTGAGTAGGTGTCAAACTAATGTTTACAACCTGCATGCAACCTGAAAAGGAGATGAACCGTATACAGTATAACATTTTGGATAAATGTTCCTGACACATATACGCAAATAACAGCTGCAGCCTGCACATTTCATACCTTATTTTAATGAGCTACTTGCTCCAAAAACTAGAAGTGCAGCACAATTTCAGGAAAAGATTCATTGATGTAAATGATCATTTTTGTACATTCCTCTTTACATTTCTCTCTACATTTATCTCTCCGAGCTTCACAGCTATTTTGCCAAGTGGAAGAAAAATCCAGAAGGAAATGAATGCTTTTGATACTGTTGACTTTTTAAAGATATAATGATTATAACCAGCTGACTATGAGAGCTCCCTAAACGAGCAGTCTTTTCTGAAAAATTTCAGTCCTAGCTATTTGCGATAAATGGTCGGTTCATTGATGAAAACGGCTCAGACTGAACCTAAAGTTAAAGCAGTTATCATGATAGCCACAGTGACCTACTTCTTGGGAATTCAAAGCATTTCTCCAACAGTTATTTCAGATAGAGCAGCTGATGCGGTCTTTTCAGTGGACTGACCCCATCACCTCTGACCATTATGGCCTCTGCACTACATATGACATCAGGTCACATACTGTAATACCACGGGAACATAAGAACACCCATCAGTCTTTTGACCCTCCAAGAAGAATCATTGCCTTTCCTGCTAAATGCACTTCTCACCATACTGCTATTACTGCCTCAGGAGCAGAGTACAAAATTGCATTTCATGGCAATTTAAGGCCAGGCAAGCAGAAAGGTGAGCAGCAGCAGTCAGGCATGGACAGTTTAATTCACCAAGGTTCATGTGACAGTTATTTCTAAGGATATCTTGAAGATTTAGCTGCAGGTGAAGGGCACAAAATGTAGCTTTTTCATACTGCTTGTATCTTGGACTGCAGAATACATTTTAAAATAATAATCTATAAACAGAAACCTCTGGCTAAATGTGTCCATGGTATTTCTTCCTCTAAATGTAACCCAGAGCACAAGCCAGGGATTTTTTGACGTTTGCTACACATGCCCACCAAAAGAAGCTCCACAACCAATTTCAGGTCCTGAACCCCCGTCTTCACAGTAGGTCAGCTGTGTCAAGCCCTTGATCGTGATTTTGGTTTCTTCAAGCTGAGTTTTGCTCTGCACAGGCAGACCACAGCTAGAAACAGATCTGCAGCTTCGTGTGTAGGTGCTTTTTGAAGGGAGTCCAACATCAACAGTGGCACCATGTCAGAGGGAAAGTCAGGGAGGAAGGGAAAGTGGGAGGTAGGAGAACAAAAAATACATCGTGTTGTTTTTAGCTGTTAGTAGCAGAAGTGGTAATAAGCACTGGGAGAAGAAGAGACATTCTTTGTTTTATGTGGCGACTTGCCATTTTAGCACCTGGACGATGGATGTCAGTCAGCTCCCTGGGTGATGACATTACTTATGGTTTTAGATATAGCCTGCTATACATCCAGCAGTATAGTGCAGTTTCATTCCTTGCCACTGATGTTAATATAGCTTCAATATTACTATTTTTTAGCTCCACTATCAAAGGCAGATGCCGTGTGGTTTAGAGAATCAGTGGTGCTTTAACAATTATACACCTTTTGTAGCCTGAACTCTTGTCTATCCGTCAGATTTAGCAACTGCATCTAATGAGATAATCTCGATATAAAGCGGGTGAGATTATTAAAAGCGAACATAGTAACTTTTTTAGCGCCATATCAACACATTGCAGATGCTATGGATTTAACGTTCTTTTTGTAGCTCCTTTGACTCCCTCAAAAATGTTTGAGATTATGTTCAACAAAGTGAACCCTTTCATTTTTGGCCACTTTTCCAAGTTCTGTGAGTAAGTGAATTGTCTCAGAGACGTTTAATATTTGCAAACAGATGGGAAAGATAATAGGACACAGAGGAACAAATAGAAAGAAACTGACTTAATTCCCATTTCATTTGTCCTGAACATTAACTTGTACTTCCTTAGTGCTCACTCGCTGCAGATTTATAGCCTTTTTAAGAAGTCCAAACATGTTGTTTCCGTTATATTTTCCTCAGATAAGACACAAATCACTATTAGTTTCTACTTTTTCCAATCTTAATATGTTAATTTATTCACCCCAGCTGTGCGGAGATATTATTTGAGGGTAAAGATTGTTGATGGTTGTGCTTCGAGTAGCAACAGGGGGATATTTACTGTGACTGGATGGAAACGGATTGCTGCATTTGAGAAAAATATTAAGCTTCCTGACTTTGCCTTGTGGAACGGCAACCTGATGTGAATTCCTTCACTGCCAAAGGAAGTGTTTACCACCCATCTAACATTTTCCCTCTTGAAAAATATGCATATGTTTCTATGTAGTGTACTTCTCTGAATGTACCACCATCTACCATTTATTTCCCTCTATTATACCCACAGAATGTTTTTCTTGTTTCCATCCCATATTTGGGAAGAAACCTCAAAACAATGCATCGCTTTTGTTCATTATTTTCTGGTTTTATTATAAGTTTGAGTTCATTGAGGTGTTGGAAAAGCCTGAAACAGTAGCCTTATGGTATTGTTATTAAGTCTTTCTGAGGCTGTCGCCAAGTACTGCTCCAATGGTCCTGCAAATTGCAACCTTGTATACATGGTGATTTATTCATGCACACTATGCACATTGATTGAAAGCACATGAGTTTTTTTCACGAATAGACTGATTAATTTGAAGAAATCAAGCAATTCTGTGGAAAATGAAACATTCAGCACCCCCATGTAACCCGGATGGAATGATCCTTTGTTTCTTAACCACATTTTTCCGCCACTGTGACGATTCTTCCATGAGAGTGGCAGATGAATCGGGCTCCTTGTCCTTGGATGGAATCGTGGAATGGTCGACTATTTGGTGTCGCCCCTTAAAGTGATGGAACATTTTATTAAAATGTGCGACAACCTCTGTTAATTCTTTTGTCTTTGTCTACCTCTCTTTTGCTGTCAGTCCACAGTCCTCAGGGTCTACGCTTGGTCCAGGTGACCGACGTCTCCCTCCTGGTTAAGTGGGAATCAGTTCGTAGGGCCGAGTATTATATTCTGACATACCATCCCAAAAATGATGAGAGTACCCAGGAGCATGTAAGTTTTTTTTTCTTGGTCATATCTATAGGTATGTCAAATAAATGTAGCATAGAAGCATTTTTTTCATTTCTTTTCATTTTTAAAACACCTTTGTCTCAAACCACTGTATCCTAGGTTCGGGTTTCCAACACAGAGAACTCCTACCTCATCACAGGACTGACTCCTGGAGTCACTTACATTCTCCAGGTGTATGCCGTCATCAAAGAGATCCAAAGTGAAGCAGACAAGATCGAAGCTACCACAGGTGAGAACAGACCGCTGTTAGGGGGACTGAAAAACATCAACGGAGTCTTAAAATGTGTGCATGACGCAGATTAGGATCCTTTACTGGTGAAGTGTGAGAGGGCTGTGAGCTGCGTGTTTTCTTTAAATGTGTTGGTGGTGTAGATTCAAAGGCAGAAGTGACCCAGTAAAGACTGATGTGGCAGAAAGGCCAGGTATGGCCTGCAGGTCTGGTGGTTTAAGCGCTCACATTTGAGGCCATATGTAAGTGAGGGCGTGAACACTTAAAAGTCAAGTTCTTATATGTTTAGAGGAAGGAGATGTTGCAGGTTTAGAGTCTAGTTTTAAGGAAAGAGGCAAGTACACAGCAAGAATTACTTGCAGTGACTTACCCAATATGTGGAGGTTTTTTTCCTGTTTTTAAATCTACCGGAAATATCTTTTACACAAATGCTATGCTAAAAAGCAATGAACAAGCTGAGGCCTGTCATTACTTACTGTTTCATTAAGTGCTGGTTTTTTAACCATTACATTTAAAGGTAATTACAAGGAAAAATGGCTACACGGATGTGTATAATGGAAAGCTCACAGATGTGGTAGAGACAGATGTGAAGAGAAAGAGATTACTAGACAGGATTTGTGAGCATGAGCGAGGCGGACAGAAAGTGGGAGAGATTGACTTTGACTCTAATGTGTGGTTAGCCTGGTTACCCATGGAAAAACTCACAGAGGATGGCATTCCCATAAGGGCATGGGGAAACACGCCATCATCTGGCTTATGGTTGTGGGAGGAGCACACGGCATGAGGCAGACTGGTCACATAGTTTTCGACTTCAAACAATGATCGACTTCAAAAGAGGGTGTAAGTGAAAATCCAATAGCTGGCATAATAATATGCTAACTCTTTTCATTTGGTACCATTTGTTTTATGGTTTTGGTCTTTTTTCACCATATGCTGCAACTTCTGACATCCCTCCTTGCTATGTTAATATTGTAAACTTAGTTACATGTATTTCATATATTTATCAAATGGCATATGTGTGAAAAAGCCTTCAGTGCTTTGAATCTTTGGCAAATACCTATGTCTGGGTTTGGTAGAAGGGGTATGGTATGGTAGGATAGCGCCTCTGAATCACAGTATCATAGAGACAAGTTAAGCCAGTGATGTGTTTCAGCACCTCAAGGTGCAGTCAGCTATTATAATCCAATACCCTTTTTGTCAAATAATATCAAATATATTCTCATCGTCTGCCAGCTGTCAACAACAGCCAATCAACAACAGGGCTGATCATGCGGGCGACTGTGACTCAGAAGGTAGAGGGGGTCGTCCCTCAATCAGAAGATCGGTTCGATCCCCGGCTACTCCAGTCCATGTCAATGTGTCCTTGGGCAAGACCCTTAACCCCAAATTGCTCCCGAAAGGCTCTGCTATCGGTGTGAATGATTAATTAGTTCTGATGGGCATGTGGCACCTTGCATTGTAGCCCCTGCCATCAGAGTATGAATGGGTATTAATGGGGGTGTATTTGTTTAGGTATTGAGTTTGAAAATCAACAATCTTTCTCCAGACTTGCTGGCTCAACCTTTTAACTTTTGCTTAGAATATGTGCACATTTTTATGTAATGACTTGGGCCGAAACATGACAGAAAAATAATAATACATTTGCTTTACTTACACTGAATTTGATCAAATCATGTGATATGAGCAATGCACAATGCTTACATAACTATTTTATATCATTCCTAATGATTCCTATAATAATAATTGAGAGGGGTTCGGTGCTGGTATTTGTTTTACATACATGCATATACTTCAGTGTGCAGTTTTCCTGACATTGAAGTGAAGATGTAATACACCGTATGTGGTATTATATCATGTTACTATAATAATATCATGTTTGGTATATGATATTTTCTTGACAGCAAAAAGATATATTCCTGTGAGGCCCCCTTGCCAGGAAGGTCACATTTCATGGTGAAAGGAATTCATCATCTAGAGCAGAGCAGGTGCTTGTGATTACAGGGGCTTTAATTAAGGCTTTCAAGTTTAAGGGTCAGATCTGCACTTCCAGTTCCACCTTGCTGTTCAACACTTGTGTCCTACCCAGATGTCTCCGCTATTGATGGTATCAGAGTACTCGGCCAGACAGAAGTCTCTATCCAGGTGGACTGGAAGAACCCGTCGGCTGAAGTGGATCACTTCAGGCTCATACACACTCACCCTTCAGGACAGGAGGGGGAGCAGAACGTACAGAGGAACCAAGAGGCGCGCACCAAACACACTATTGTTGGTAGGTGTTGTAATAGACAGTAGTGCTGCAACTGATTGTTTTCATATCAGATTAATCTGCCCATAATTTGCTCCATTAATCGTTTGTTCTGGTTCAGAAAATAGTGAAAAATAACCATCCAAAAGGTTATGTCTTTTAAAAGTCTTGTTTTGTCAATTCAATTCACTTTAATATGATGGAAAACAGAAAAAAAGCAGGAGTCTCCATATTTGAAAGGCTGAAATCAGCATCTCCTGACATTTTGCAAGAAAAATTAATAACATTTAATTAACATTTTATCAAATATCAACAACGTAATAACGTAGGCAATTATTTTTCGATTAATCGAGTAGTCAGCTGATCATTGCAGCTTTTATATATAGTTTGCATACAAGAAGTGGTTTTGAATACATAAAAAGATTTGAATTAAAAATGAATTGTTGTGTCCTTATGTTGAAGTCTCTGAGGCTGGCTAACCAGTATCTAGTACCGGATGTTACCAGAGCTTGCCTTTAAATGAAGGGAGGCCATTTGCTGTCTTTGCCCCTAATATATTGCCCCACCTCTCATAACATGATCATGCATTTCAAAATACTCACTTATACTCCTTGCTTTTCTTAACTGATATTTTGCCCTTCTGTTGACATTATTATAATTTTTAATTATATTTATTTAGTCTGGTATTTGTTACTATTCTGACTGTTTGATACTTTGTGGGAAATGCCTTTATTGCCAAGCACTTTCCTTTAGAAATTGCTACATTTTCTAATCATTACTTACTTAAGACACATAAAGTACATATACTCTTGCACATACACTCAGTATGCATGTACAGTATATGCAAATACAGCTCTGAATTGTATCACATCAATACATTATATATTTAATAATTATAACAAAATAATAAAATAAAAGCATCTAATGCAAATGGATAAAAAAGTGGAATATCTTATCATATATTTAAGTTGCATATCATTACAACACAGATCACAGTATAGAGCAGTGGTTCCCTGCTATTTTCACTTCTAAGCCCTTAGAACTAAGCAATGTCTAGTTGAGAATTGTGGACACAAGTTATGATCAAGTTAACCAAATAGTGAATTTCCCTCTCAGATAGTAGTTGGATAGTTTCATGGATTTTTAGGACTGGCAAGACGAAAGCATCCCGAGTATTTCACAAAGAAAGAAAAGTCAGAAAAATAAATGTGGAATGGTGGAACAAAAATATAATCAAGATCAAAAAATGTGTCTTCGTGCAGGTCTTTTTCCAGGAACAGAGTACCAGATCTCAGTGCAGGCCATCAAAGGAACTACTGAGGGAAAACCTTCCTCTGTCACCGGTGCCACAGGTCAGTGTCAACACATAAGCGTCCATGATCCATTTAATCTAATGTGTTACTCAGTGCCAATTCTGTATGTTATCAGTAAGTACAAAATGGAACCAATTTTCCGCAAATTTTCTCGCTGCAGAAATGGCAGAGACTTGGGTTTGTGCCACCACCGACTATGTCTGAATTGGATGACATTCAAAATGAAAGATCAGCCACTTGCGGGAGTGAAACACATTAAAGAAAATGCGAGGACATCCATATTCTACTTAGTTTTGAATTGGATGCAACATCAACAACAGTTCTTAGCTCTTGTAAAGCCACCAGTAATTCACCTATGGGCAGAACCTAATAGGAAAAACACAATCTGTCATGCACAATTGTGACATGCGGTATGATACATCCTGGTATTCCCTTCCACACACAGCCAATGATAATAGCAAAATGAATACAGCCGGCAAGGAGCACGATTATGGGTTAATGATGTAAGGCTGGAATTTGCAGCCTATTAATCTGGACAGGTCGTAATGGCTGTGGTGAGCCTGTTCACCAAGAGGAAACATGATATGAATGGTGTAACGACTACAAGATGCTCCCTGATGGTTGAGGTGAGAAGGTCCATACTGAGTCCAACTGGTAATGTTGTTTTTTACCAGTGTGGCATTGAGTTTGACGCATTTAGTCTAACATTTGGTTTTAGGACGTGAGGAGGAATTAATTTAACAGTTTCACTTTAACAGCTGGTGATGTTATTCAGGTTCCTTAATGTTATTATTTAAGTTACTGAGGAATAGTCCACAATGGCATGACATGTCCGCAGTTTCTCCCATTATTCTGCTCATTCGTGCTTTGTTATTTTTAACTTTTCTGCCTTTCATTTCCTTTCCTTTTTTTCCTCACCCACCTGCGCTCTCATCCACCCTTGGAACTCACTCAGTTCAAAAGCAGTCTCCGGGTTGATGGCTCTTCATTTTTTAGACCCTGAGGCAGCCAATTTAATGGTTTTTAGTCATTAGTGTTAGCTAGGTATTTTCAAGACTCACCTCTCTTCATCTGCAGCCAGTCGGGTACTCAAGGGCATTTGTCACTGCTAATCTTTCTGCGCGTGAGTGTGCCACCTACTCGTGTAGTAATTGCATGTGTGTGTGAGGGAATGTGCTAATCTGCACCAGACAGACAGTGGCTTGTCTCCACTCCAGTAGCTACAATCCTTCATTTTCGGTGTTACATGAAAAGGCTTAGAGGTGATTGAGGAGGATAGGCCCCAGCTCTGCTCTCCAGCGAGGATGTGTTGCTTTCATGATGTCTGGTGTGGTGCAACAGAGACCACACACACCTATTATCTCACCCACCATGCTGTTTTTATTGGGCCGGCGTGGTAGAATGCAATGAGAGATAAAAGGATCTGAATGAGGAAATGTAGAAAAGAGCAACAGCAATAAAGAAAATGAGGACTGTAAGTGCCACGGTTACAGCAAGAAATGATGGGAACAAATTAGCAGGAATAGAAGAATACAATAATATAATATTAATTTATAGTATATAAATGTGTAAGTGTGTGTGTGATATTCTGTGGGTGGCTGTATCTGGTGTCTTTTAACTGCCATCAGTTCCAGAATAAAATGATTCAATGACAGCTAACATTTAGAAACACACCAGAGTCAAATGGATCTCTCTCTCCGGAGCAGACGTTTCACATTCACTAAGCTGCCAAGAGATTATAAATCGTATAAACGCAACCCACCACGGCTGCACCGCTGATTCAGATTCAATAAAGTCACCACCAAGGGCTGTATAACCAAAAGCAGATGGACTTGGCATTGGTAGAGGAGAAGAATGTTTAGTCTTTATGTTATCTGGACACACTATAGCACCTCATGTGGCCCAGTGGGAGCACCCTGTCCGCTCAGACTTGTCCATCAGCTCTGTACAGTAGGTGCCAGAAATATGACAAGTGAAAATGTGAGAAGGGACATTTTATAAAGATAATAACACTATAAAGAGAGAGCACTATTGGCCTGTTCATGTGTGTGTGTACAGGCATGTATGTGTCTGTGGAAAGGCTCTTCTATGTGTGGTAGTGATGCGCAGGAGTCTAACCACAGTCTGTGGGTCCGGCGGGTCTGGCGGGTTTGGGTAGGCTGAATTTTTTTTTACAGAAACATGGCGTGCAATAGTTCACCTTCTCTTCCCCTTTCCCTCTAGTGTCACTCTCTCTCTCTCTCTCTCTCTCTCTCTCTCTCTCTCTCTCTCTCTCTCTCTCTCTCTCAAACACACACACAGTGAGCGCCACGAAGCTATAGTAATGTCTGGCATTTGGAGGAATATCTGCAAGCTGTGCCCTTATTTATGGATACATACTTAAGCTCTACATACAGCTCTGTATCTTCAAAAGTTTCTTTTTTTGCGTCAATTATTTTGAGAAGTAATAATACATTAATAACTCCTGATGATTTGACAGCAAAATACAAAAATATCCGTTGGTCTAATGGGTTTATCAAAACTGTGACATGTGCATACCTGCTAGTACAGTGGATGGATAATGATGGATGATTTATGATGGCAAAAGCAGCATTTCATGTCATCCATATCGTATGTTACTGCCACTTCTAGATTTGGCAAAAAAGTCAATCCTGTCAAAGAATTACGAGCTGCATACGGTACAAATAGATTGTTGAGTAAACACATAAAGACTTTGGTAGCCAGAGGACTCCACAACAATACATATGTTACACCTGACGTATAGTGTCTAAAAGAACGGCACCTATCGACACATTTTTTCCCTGGGCTCCATCCACAGACGTACTGTATGGGTTCCACGGTACGGTGAGGCTGTACATGATGAAAGACGGCCCGTTACTGTGCGTCTTGTGGTCGATGCCTCTGCTGAACATGCCAGCCATAATGGATAAGCTGTTTTCCAAACAACCGAAGCCACAGCTCGTATTCTGTAGCCCGGTAGCCACTATCGCTATGCAGCTAGTGGGGTAGAACGTCTGGAGAAACTCAATCCATCACACACTGTAACTTCAGAGCAAATGCAAGGGATCCTTTAGAAAGTAGTCGTGCTTGGAAAAAACAATATATCAGACAGCCAAGAAAGCAGCTGTACTGCCTATAAGAGCCAAAGGAGCTGCAGAGGGAAACAAAATAACACCAAAGAGGGAGGAGAAACCTTTGATTTGGACAACGAGGCATGGTTGAATACAAGCTTCATTCAGATGGTTACAAACCAAATCTATTCATGTAACAATCAAGATTCTTCTGAGATTCTGAATTGATTCACAACTTCCTAAAAACCTTTTTTAAGTCCTTTTTTTTCTACAAAAAAACCTAGATTTTGCAGCTGATGGACAGTAATCCTACGGTGGCCCATGTGGTTTGTGTGTCAAGTCATACTCACACAGTCCTGGTGTTAGACAGCGAAATTATTTGTTGTAATAGTAAAAACTACACAGTCTGTGTGAACGGCCTCACAGTCACTTCATAGTCTTCAGTGTAGTATTCAGAGAAACCAAACATTTAGATGCTGTGTCATTGTGTATGCGTAGTGATGCTTTCTGGGCTCCCTTAGTAGCGCTCACTTAGGGCCACTTAGACTACTTTTTGACCTCTCATTTTTAGGCCTCGGAGGAAACACCCAACCCGAATAAAATTGAGCTGTAATAAATTCCTCCTGTGGTTTAGCTCATGACAGACTGTCAAGCAGTGCAGCCACAAGGACAGAAAAGTGCCAACGGGAGAAGAGGAGAAAGACAAAGAGGGGGTACAGAGTTAGACCGCTGCGTGTTTCCTTTCTTCTCCTGGATGCATCATCAATCACTTTTCATGATGCAGACTGCGCACTGACACAAGACTGACCCTCCACTGAGCCGCTGCCACAGAGGAATAATCCTAAATGATGATTGCTTTTACATTCCTCTTCACTTCTTCTGTCTCTCTTACGGTGCCTCTGTGGCGCTTTTTATTTTCTGTTTCCCTCCCTCTCTTCGCTTTCATCGAGATTCCCTCGACAGAAACTAACACCCATCCACACACATGCACCACCAACTGCTCCGCCTGCGTTTCCCATATGTCTCCAGTGATTCCTCAAGCCCACAGATAGAGGCTCTGCTGCGCTGCTGTGTCCTCGTCCCACTGAAGCTCATCCTGTGGAGCTCAGTGATGAGGACCAGACCATCGGTTGGGTTTGTGGGCTAGTGATGTCCTTTTTGAAGTGCTTCACAGAGCTCTTCCTTTGGGACTTTTGTTCGAGAGTCTAAACTCAGACTCACTCTAGCCATACTGTATATCAAACTATTGTCATACTATGCTCATCCTGCCCCGTGCAATTTAAGTAATAATACAATACAATACAATAATTCCGGTTTTGCTGAGGCTGTTATCCCAAGGAGAACAACAGCATTAGTCTTTTCAGCTATATAACAACATTATGTTTGTGTTCAGGTGACAAAGCCCTCTGGTAGCTGTAGCCTTCTAGTGGCCGTAGCAGTTATATGTCAGGAGCAAAAGAGGAAGTCAAGTGATGTGATTGTAGAGCCGCAGAGGGAGGATGGATCAACAACACGTCAGGCTTCAACTCGGGAGACCGCTGTTCATTTCCAATTTACAAATGATAGTCACTATTGTTATATTTTTTTCAGAGCATGATCATGATCGTCCCTGAACCTTCACCATGTGAAGGATTAAGGTCCCCTTACCTTGACTAAGTAATCATTTTCACCCAAACATCGTGGTTCGCTAATCTTAAAAAAGTCCTTCTTTAACCCAACCCCTGATCTTTCCCTAAGGCAAGTCGTTTTAACGCCTAAGCCTCACCAAACTTTTACAGATATAGAGTGAAAGCCCTCTTTATCTGTAACCTTCAAACAATATACAGTGTGTTCAATATCTTAGGGTTATGTCACTTGGTTTCTGTTTTCTGTACCCTGGGTGCTGTTAGATTGTGCTTCTCAACTGAGTTTCTAGCCAATGTGAATGGACGGGAAGGATCAGTGAAGTGAACAAGAACTCCTTATTTTTTTTGTCGGCTTGTCTCTTAGTCCTACTTTAATCTCATCTTCTTCAGACATGGATGCTCCTACCAACCTGATCACCACTAAAGTAACAGAGGACACTGCAACAATTTCATGGGATCATGTCCAGGGAGAAATAGATGGCTACATGTTGAGCTACACCTCTGCTGAGGGCTCCAGCACCGAGATCCCCGTAGGACGTGACAGCACCTCGTACAGGCTGGTTGGCTTGAAGCCTGGAGTTCTCCACACCATATACATCTGGACCTTCAAGGGCAACAAAGTCAGCACGAAGAGTTCAACAGCAGCTGAAACAGGTAAACTTTGAATGGGACCCTGGTTCATTACAGGAGTGGTCGATGAATTTGGTCTTCTGTGTGTGTCCACAATTAAAGAGCTTCAAGAATGACCTTTTAAGTTTAAAGAGGGTGAAAATTCCCTCTCTAATATATATTTTTATATTGCTGTATTAATTCAAGTTTCTCTACAAAAACAAAATTTTACAAGATTACATTTGAACACATCATCATAAAGGTATAATTTACCTTCGCATAATACAAATTTTTAGCTTGAGCGCATCATAATGTAACTCAGTGCAACCTCTGTTAACTTTAGCTGTTGGCTCTGTTATTTAGCAAAACTGGAGTGCTGCCCCACTGCTGCTAACAGCTAACGTTAACCAGCTCTCCTCCTGCCGATTTCAACATGTATTTGTTGTTCACAATGGAGCAATATCAGGGGGAAAATAGGTTGCATAAGAGTGGTTAACCATAGGTGTATAGTGCTAGTTTGCACATGTGTTGTGCTGATCAGCCATAATCGCATAGCGAGTGACACATGTTGGTGTTGTTGTGTAGCATAAATGAGCTCATAAGTTATATGATGATGTGATATTGGATGCATAGACTTGCGTATTTGCCGATACCTGATCCAGCATTTTTGGTTATATCGGAGAAATTTCACAACTTTGACCTGGAAGTCTCCGATATCTCAAGTTTCCCAGTCAGCGTATTTCATTTCTTTCTTTCCAGCCTGTGAGCAGAGAGAAGGATATTTTAAGTGCCTCTTTTTCTTAAACTCCTTTGTGTAAGACGCTTTTAACTGAAACTTTGATCTTCACTGTGTGGGTTTTCTACACTCTTCCATGTCTTTTTTTGTGGTGGCAAGAAGTCAAAAGCATAGAAATTCTTCACTTATCACTTAGTCACACAGATTTGTCTATCTGCAAGGACAGAAACTTTTGAAAAAGGCTATTTAATATAATTAGGCTGGACACCTTGTTTAAAGGCCATTTAGTTTAGCCTGGGGCTGAATGTCTTTAAGAAGTTTCAGAAGAGCCAATTTTGCTTCTTTAACAAAGCCAGCAATTTTGTTTCTCCTGTGTTGTCCTGTCTCTTCATCTTTGCTGTTGTGAAGGTTAGCAGCTGTTGCTGTCTGCTTGCCTTCATGTCTCTGAAGAAAAAGGCTGAAAAAGAAGGCTTTTGGGTACCAACTGGCAGACATCCAAATTGCTTTTAGCTTTTAGCAGACACGTTAGCTCCAATAACCCCACTCATACATCAACCGGCGGGATGGCTCTTGCATGCAAATATCTGAAGAGGCTTGAAACTCACTTTGCTAGCTGGTGATCTTAGCAATTGTGATCATAATTAACTATAACATGAGCAATATGGGAAAGAGCAATTCATATTATTGTTGTTATTGTTATGTAATGATGAGGGACAGATGTGTAAAATAATTAGCTACATATCTTCAGTGTGTGGGCATTTCCTTACCTGTTTTTGGAGAATACAAACAATCCGAGTGATATGGAGCAGCTGAGATGAGATATAAGTTCATCTGAAAGCCAAAGCACTGACATCGTATCAGGAAACATCACTGGTTCAGATTTCTCTTCACTGCAACAATGTTCTGTCACCATCTTTTATTTGCTATAGTAGTTTGCATGTTATCTAATTAACATAGCTCATAGTGTACTCATAGTAAGCCTGCTTATATAACAATGTGATATAACGTCAAACTTGGATTCGAAACCTGTCACATGGGAATCTTTGGTTAGTCATTGTTTTTTTATTTTTATTTTCATCTTCTTGATGGCAAATTTTGATTAAAGGACCAAAACACATTGATCCAAGTTTGACGTTTCAACCCTCTTACACAGAGACCGAAGATTATGTGTAAGAGGGAATCGCATTATACTGATTTGGATTAGCTGTTTGCTTTTGTTGTTATGTATGCACTGGATGTCGTGATGTCCTTTAGTAGTCCCTACTAACCATAACTCCCCACACAGAGGTGGACGCTCCTACTAACGTCTTGGCCCAAGATGAAACAGAGTCCAGCTTCAGGGTGTCCTGGGATCACACCCAGGCAGAAATTGATGGCTACATCCTAACCTACAGCTCTTCTGAGGGCTCAAGTGAGGAAATCCCAGTCGGGTCTGACAGTACTTCATACATGCTGACTGGCCTGAGGCCTGGTGGCCTCTACACCGTCTACATTTGGGCCATCAAGGGGAGCAAAGCCAGCAGGAAGATCTCAACACAAGCTAAGACAGGTCTCAAATCTAACACTTTCTGACCAGCTTATGCCAAAATGTTGGGTTATGTGCTTGTTGAAAAATACATTTTAAAAACTTTCCTAAATGATTCCCTGACACCTGGTTTTTAAATGTAGCTTCAGCAATTGTGTCTACAAGTTGATGGACTGGTCTGTAGACTGTAGTTTGCATCAGTAGTGTATTAATATCCTCTACTAACTACTTCCTCTAGAACTGGACGCTCCCGCTAACCTCTCAGCCCGAGATGAAACAGAGTCCAGCTTCAGCGTGTCATGGGATCCAGTCCAGGCTGAAATAGATGGCTACATCCTAACCTACAGCTCCTCTGAGGGCTCCAGTGGGGAGATCTCAGTGGGGCCTGACAGCTCCTCTTACAGGCTGACTAGTTTGAGACCTGGGGTCTTCTACACTGTCTACATCTGGGCCATTAAAGGAAACAAAGCCAGCCAGAAGATCTCAACACAAGCTCACACAGGTCTCTACCCTTTTCTGTTAAACCGACAAATTAAATCCATGCCTCGATTTAAATATGCCCCTCACATATTCTTTTGTGGGGCCATGTTTATGTTTAATACATCATACCTTCTACAGTTATTTTGACAAGACAAGTCTCTTGTAAACCCCAAAAGGAAAATGTGTCTCTCACATGGAAGAATAATCAGCTTATTTGTTTAAAGAAGTTTTCAAATCCATCACTTCATCTATCTGCTTGCCAACTTCTCATGCAAGGCAGCCCAGACATCCATTTTCCCCAATACTCAATACCCAATAGTACCCAATAACTTACTCCAGCTCAGAGGTGTAATCCCTCGAGCGTGTGCGGCAACTACCCTGCAGTCTCCCCTCAGCCACTCATGCATGGAGCATAAGAGGGCGCTCAGGGCCACTATTTCCAAGAGACCAAAACACCTCTACTTGCTACTTTGAAAGAGACTCTTCACTCTGTTATTCAGACTGAGGTCAGCCAACATGATCGGGAACCTCATCTCAGCCTCTTTTATCCAATAATATGATCATTTTATCTACATGTGCTGTACTACCCAACGTTTGTGACATACAGATGAAGGTTGGATTGAAGATTGACTCTTTGGCTCAGCTGTCTCTTCACTGGCACCCAATTCCCCTAATGTGTTGTTGTTGTCCTACGTTTTCGCTGGTGTGTGAAATCCAAATTTCCCTGGATCTTTGGAACAGCTGCCTAATTATCTGAATAGAAAAATGCACTTTTTACCAGAAAAGGGCAACTGAATGCCTTGAAGGAATCCCTCCTCAGTTTGACTGTCTTCTTCACTCCTGCTGTCCACCACCAGACAAGCACCTTCTAACCAGGGCTCCTTGCAGCTGCTTGCATGATTGGGATTTTGAGCAGAGTCCATTCTGTATAGAACCTATGCATGGTTAGAGGAAAATTGGAGGCTTGGAGTTAAGAGTTGAATTTATTAGTGGGCAGAGAAACAAGGTATTTTCAGCAAACCCAGAAGGCCAAATGTTCTGACCAATCTTCGTTTTCCTCCCTGCAAGATGCAGGTGCACCAGGCTCCCCCCTCCAGGGAAAAGCAGGATCGATATGATTTATGATGCTCTTTCTCCGAGTGATGCACAATCAAGTATAGTCACAATGTGCTCAGTCCATAACATCTGCCAAACAGGTATTGCACCCAACTTACAGCATTTTTGGCTGAGCTACAAGGATTCATCCGTTAACAGAGGCTCTCGTGTTCTTGTTCCAGGCAAAGTTTTCTTAGCTCTTGCTATAACCGTTACTCCATATGCAGCACTGAGCGCTTCAACTAAACTCTTGGCCCATCATCAGTGTGTTGTGAGACAAAGTGGAGTCAAAAGTTCAATGGACATCAGCTTAGCTACAGTTCTGATGAGAGCTCAAGCACAGAGACACCTCTGAGATCCCATGATGTCTACTACAAGCTTACTGCCTGAGTCCTTGTGTCCTTTACATTGTCTACATTTGGGCAGTGAGTTGGGACAAAGCTAGTGGAAAGATTTAAACATATATTGCATCTGATATATATATATAGAGAGAGATATATAGAGGGTATATCTATATATATTTATTTATTTATTTTTACGATGCAATATATGAAGGTAAACATCATTTTTCTTGTAATGACCATCATATTACTAATGTTTTTATCAAATGCATGCCAGAAGATTTCGTTTGTTCGCCTTTAGGTGAGAAATGAAACATTACATTTTGTGGTCTGCATCAGTAGTTCTTGTAGTTTGCATCTTTGTAGTATAACAACCAACTCAACGAACATCTTCCTCTAGAACTGGATGCTCCTGCTAACCTCTTAGCCCGAGATGAAACAGAGTCCAGCTTCAGCGTGTCATGGGATCGAGTCCAGGCAGAAATTGATGGCTACGTCCTCACCTACACCTCCTCTGAGGGCTCTAGTGGGGAGATCCCAGCCGGGTCTAACAGCTCCTCCTACAGGCTGACTGGCCTGAGGCCTGGTGTCCTCTACACTGTCTACATCTGGGCCATCAAGGGAAGCAAAGCCAGCAGGCAGATCTCAACACAAGCTCAGACAGGTTAATACGAATAGGCAGGATTTTCTTATAGTTATGATAAAGCTCTCCTCTCTGTTAACTATTTGTCAGTTAACATCTTTAAAAGAGGTAATTGTTTTTACACTTCTGGCAGTCTAGATTTCTGTTTTCAAAGATGTTGATACACACAGGAAAAACTGCATATGGAAACATTTACCAATGGTAATTATCCAAAGCTATTTTATCCTATTAATCTGATTTTTAGTGTAGTTGAAAATTGCTTTATTTATTCATTTAATAATGATGATACTTGTGATTAATGTGCACACAAAACAGCAATCCATCAATTCTTACGACCTATGATCTTTGATTCAATCAACCGGACAATTCTTACAAAGTCAAAATGAATTTGATGCAAACTACCAAGGAGCACCAAAACTCTGGCAGGAAGTGCATCCCACAGGCGAGGCCATGTCAGTGGGTATGTCTGGTAACTTAGTGTGGGCTAAAAATAGCAGCGGCAGCACCTGGTGAATGGGTTACAACAGGGGTATCATTGTGTGAGCCAGATGATCTGTAAAATCACCTGGGAGCTCTAAGTGAAAGCTGGATCTTTTTCAATTAGGCAGCAAATGGCAGAGTTTGGGATTATGAACTTGTCTCGTCGTAATTCATTAGAAACTGTCTGTGGCTACGGACCAACGTGGTGCTGGGTTCCGATAGGAAAGCCATTGTGTCAGACAATATCATCTGGGACACATAAAAGCATGTGTTATTACATTTGGGATTTTATAGGACCTAGTAACAAGCACCATTAATACATCTGTTAAAACGGTCTCAAACCGACACCAGTGTGTTCCACAGACTTTTTCAGCGTCATTGTTTCCACTGTTGATTCTACTAAATTCATGACTGTTCACACAATTTTCTCCCACTACAATTTAATTACCAGAAAAGCTGTTAAATTTGTTCAGTGTTGGTAAAAACGAGAATAGGATGAATCCTGAATAAAAGCAGCTTTATTTATACTAGAAGAGGACTGAAAGAATGAGTCTTGACTTGAATAAATAATAGATAGCTTGAGCTGATTTTGTACGTCATGGTGACATGCGTTTCCTCTGATTCCCTGAGCCGTGGGAGGTTAAAGCTGCCACGGTTGCAGCAGGCATCTTTGTGTCAGACAAATTATTTCAGCGTGTGTTTCAGGTCAAACCTCCCAAAGCAAGGCAGAGTTTTAACCGCCAGTTCATCTGCACAGGCAAATTGTAACTTCGCAGGCTGGTAGTCATCTCTGGTGTTGTGTGTCAGGTGGAGAGAGGCTGAAAAGCTACAGTGTTAGATACATTAATGTTGAACTTGTCATTGAAGTAGAGAAAGGAAATAAAGAGGGATTAATACCGCACTGCAAAGTTATGTCTGTCCTAGGAAACACTTATTTTAAGTGTGAGGAAAAACTTTATTTTTTGAAGCACCAATGAGAGGTTCGGGTAAAATGATGATTTAACAAAAATGTTAAAACAGCTGTATTAATTTAAGAGACTCTTTTCATTCAAGATTGATTATTTTTTTCCAGTTTTATTGAAGAAACTCAAGTAAATAGCAGCACAAATCCTCTGCTTACCCAATCCAGACCTGAGTAAAGATGTACTCATGAACTTACAGTATACTCCATGTCCCTGTGCTGTAATCCACTCTGATTTACACTCCAACAGACATTGATGCCCCGAAGGAGCTGAAGGCGACAGATGTGACGCTGGAGTCTGCTCTTTTGACCTGGCTTCCTCCTCTTGCTGACATTGAGGGGTACATGCTCACCTACAGAGATGAGGATGGCAACATGGAGGTATAGCCATATAATTGACTCCAAACCGAAACATATTCACATGTGCGACAACGAAGGTATTACACTCTTTGTCTCACAATTTGTAAATACAGATTCTGTGTCGGAATATATTTGGACTTATTTTTTGCCAAATGGGAATATTGAACTAAGTCCTGTCTTTCTCTCTTCAAGCATACAAATACCATTTGGAAAACAGTTTCTTCACTGCTTGGAAAAGGCTGAGGCAACAGCAAAACTGCATGTTCAATTTAAGCTCTGTTAAATGCTGACCCCTTGTGGTCAGACATATAATGAATCTACTTTTGGATTTATGGATGAGGTGATCGATCTTTTACTTGACACTCTTTTAAGATTGGACAATTTTTAGGAGCCCACTTAATGTCTGTCTCTAATTGAAACTCAATACCATGTCATGTGTTCAGTAAGATTAACTGCAATTATTTTTATTTTTTTTCTCCAGATGGTTGAAATACAGCTTGGCGCCCGCGAGAGCAATTTTGCTGTATCCAGTTTGGAGATGGGGAAGAGATACATCGTCACCATCATTGCCTACAGAGGAAACAAGAGGAGCAAGGTGGTGGAGACCATCTTCAGAACAGGTCTGAGCACTGCTGTCTACTGAGTCACTACTGTTTTCTGTGTATGATGCTCTTTGCTCGGATTCCTTTCTATTTTTATCATTTTATCAGTCAGTTTGTGTGACATGTTATTCTGCGCTGTAACGTCACGTCATGAATATTAAATAAACATTAATAATACAGTCACACCTCTCCCCTAGTTGGTATCCTGTACCCCTTCCCCATGGACTGCATTCAGATCATGAAGGATGGCAACAAGAAGAGTGGTGTCTACACCGTCTATATTAACAACGACCGCTCCAAACCAATTGAGGCTTACTGTGACATGGAGACTGATGGAGGCGGCTGGCTGGTATGAATCACTGATGAAACTGCACATATCAAAATAAGGAAAGACTATCTTTTGAGTAAGGCTTCAGGATATTAACAGTATTGTTTATTTTTGTATTATAACTTTATTGACAGTAATGTTTATTATGTGGGCAGAATTTATAGCAGTACATATTAAAGGGGTATTCCACTGACTCACACAGCCTCTAAAAAAAGTTGTGTAATGTCTTCTTTGGCTAAAAAAGCCAAAGAAGTATGGTATAAAAAAATATCCTGATGACTTCTACATGCTGTTGAGTTGCCTTATGGGTAATGTAGGACCCAGTGACTTTAGAGCTAAGGACTAAAAGTCAAGATATCTGGACCTCTGACACTTTGATTTTGACTATTCTTTTTAAGACAGTCCCCCCAACTTTATGGAAACATTGTCCCAGTAGGCTTGAGTATCCAGTTAATGATTGTAGTTGACAGTTGTTGCTACTGGAATTTTGGTGGTGGAGACGGTAACCACCTGGAAACATTTGTGTAACAGCTGTGAGTGAATATCCTGTGCTCGCTGCATTCAGGTGCTCCAACGACGTACCTCTGGCAAACTTGACTTTATGAAGCGCTGGAGACAGTACATAGCCGGGTTTGGCAACATGACAGAGGAGTTCTGGATTGGTGAGCACTGATTCTCTGCGGACATCGAAACATGCACATATGAAACGGTAATGGAGTATTTCTTCTTACTCTCACTCTGTCTGGCTGTTCCCTCAGGTCTGGATAAGATATATGAGCTCACCAACACTCCTACTCAGTATGAGCTGAGGTTTGACCTGGGCCTGGGTGCTGAGAGAGCCTATGCTGTGTACGACAGCTTTAAGATTGCACCGGTCAAGCAGAAATTCAAACTCACTATCGGCAAATACAGTGGAACAGCAGGTGAGCCTTTTACTCCTAGAATCTTTTCCAAACTACCAGCAATACAATTCACAGCATACTCTACAAATGTATATACTCTCTGACACTTAACTCAAATAGAAAGAGTCATAGAGATGAAGAGAGGGCAAGGATGGCAATGAGACAGACCGGCAGGGAATACAGGGGTTTCAAGCAGTAGGCACCCCACCCATCAGTGTGTGGGGTTCTGAGAAAGCTAATACACACCGAAAGGTAGGTGGTCTGTGCTAGTATTTGTTTGAGAAACTTGCATTCAGTCAGTTATAGGCTGCAGTTTTAAAGGGAAGAAGAAGGCAGGGTTTTAATGGGCTTTGAAGACAGAAACATACAGATGCACAGCAAGTGGGACATTGGGTCTAAACATTAAACAGTGTTCTGAAACAACATACACTGCATCGCTCTATTTTTGGCTTTTTATTAAATGTCTTCCATCAGGGAGCACTTGGAAGAAAAAGGAGTGAGCAGCAAAATCTGAGAGTATATTGTTGCTAGAGGAAGGTACATGCAGACTGTTCTGTGTAGAGTTTCTAACGTTTAAAGTCTACAGACAATTTTTGTTAATTATTGTTGACGATCCCAGGTGATGCTATGACCTACCACCAAGGCCGGCCCTGGACTACTGTTGATAATGACAATGACATCGCCCTGGGTAACTGTGCCCTGACCCACCGTGGCGCCTGGTGGTACAAAAATTGTCATCTTGCCAACGTCAACGGAAAGTGGGGAGACAACAGGCACAGTTTGGTGAGTGAGAGTGATTCAGTGCTTCAGTGTTGTGGATCTTCCAATGTGGGTTTAAAAGAATATTGAAAAGAACAAACATTAACAGGTTTTGGTGGTTTAACGTCAAGGACAAAGGTCAAGGTTTCTTTATTAATAACCAAGCATAGATGTGTTGTGCAGACAGGAGATTCAGCATCTAGAGTTAAAACAATACACACACACACACACACACACAGCTCAAAGGACATAAACACACACACACACTCACTCCAGGGCTTTAAGTGGCCCTGACTGTAATCTGTGATGACAGACTTATACTAACTTATAGAGATAAGGCTGTAGACTGTCAAACATCAAGCCTTCACTCCATCCTTGCCAGCGAATTAATTCATTCTCCAACTTGCAAAGTTTGAATCTGCTTCATTAAGTCAAGCTATATTTGGAACTTTTGTCCGTGAATAATAAGTGGTTATCTAAACTGTTATGTAGCTCAAAATGTCAATGTGGAAAATCAAATTTTAATTGAGTGTCCTTTATTAATTCAGAGTTGAGGCTCCATTCATTGGGGGTTTCAAGGAGGAGTTTTTGCTGTTTTCTTCTCTTTGTTTTTCCTTGTGCTAAAGGAAAGTTAGTAGTTGTACGACTGCCACTCACAGCTAGCTGCTTCTCCTGTCTCAATTTTCTACTGCGTAAGTGAAGCACAACAAAAACAACTAGCCGTCGTGTTATTCGGGGGTTCTTTCAAAACATGCTGCAAAAAGAACCCAAAAAAAGAATGACGACGGGGAGGCTGTTCCCTGGTCAGCAATCAAAGACAACTCCGCCCCAACCCCACTCTTGGTTGTTTTGTTTCGGACTGTCGAGATGAAGTAGAAATGGCCTCAATCCATCAGTGGTGATAAGAAAACACATTTCTCACACCAGCTATAAAGCATAAGTGTTTTTGCCAGGCTGATAGGGTAACAACAACAGTTATTATGTCTAAGGGAGTCTGATACTGAAGAAAATGCCAGGGGATTTCTCTGCTCTTGTCGAGATTTCATCCATAATATTGTTGTTGTCTTTTTATCGCAGATGTCTCTCGCAATGTTTGTCGGCAAAATGCAACAACAGTCAAAACAAGTTTGTACTCACATGAAATGAAGCCACAGGCTGGTGTTTATTAGTGTTTGTCATTCCGCCTGTCTGTCATTGCCGCCTGCCTCTTCTGTGACTCTGTCTCCCATCCTTTTCTTGTCTCCCTCATTTCCCCTCTCCCTTCCCTCTCATCATGCCAACATCACCCTCTAACCATACTTTGCGTTTCCCTCTTCGATCTCTTTCTCGCTTAATCTGCTGTGCTGCTGTCAGGGACTGAACTGGGAGCCGTGGAAGGGCCACCTGGTGTCCCTCGACTTCACCGAGATGAAGATCCGACCCGTGGGAGCCTTGTCCAGCAGGAAGAGGCGATCGTTGATGGCCAGAGAGAAGAGCAGAGCCATACACCTCCAAAAGAAATAATAGAGCACCTCCCACTTCAACTGCAACAGTCGTCACCAGTCCCAATAACCTGCATCACGCTAGATTTGGGTGTTTCTGTACATACCTATGTCCCCACTGGTCTACATGCCTCTATGTGTCTCAACTCTTGGACAATATGTCCACTTGTTTGGGCGAGGAGAGAAATGCCAATATGCAATAGTAACTTATTATCTGTTTGTAAACAATGGGATTAATCAGAAACTCCTGGTGGTTGTGGGAGGGCGACGAATAGAAAAATGCCTTTGAGTTGTTTTGAAGTGAACTGAAGTTAATTATTAACATTTAGTCTTATCAGTTATGATGCAATAGTTATTCTTAAAAACTCCTGTTTCACTGATTCTGGTAGTAACCTTCATTATAAATCAGGAAACAGTAGATTTAGTTAAATTCGGATGCAAGAAATCCCATTTTTCTTCAATTACTGCATTCATTTGAACTTTTACAAAGGTTTTTGTATTATATTTGTTTATTTTTTGTTGTATGAAGAATTTCAGTAGCAACTTTTCTTGTGTATAGTAGTATTGTCATAACAACATAAATGTAAAAAAAAGCGTTTTGTTTTAAGGCCAAGTGTGAACGATCGGCGAGTTATTGCCCTGAGTTTATTGAGTATGAAGTTGGCTGGCTGTGTCACATTTAGTTGTCGCTGCCGCAAACACTGTCACATCACATTAGCGTGTGTGGGACGAGCCAAAGAACAACAATGGACGGCTGTCTTGAATGCCCATATTGCTCCTGCTTTACATTCATAGGATACCGACAGCGCATATCAATCAATGTGATGTGCCTGCATCAAACGTCAATAAGGATGACGTGTGTTTGCCCCATCCTCAGGGACTTAATGAACAAACCCTTGTTTTCAATCTGGAAAGTTGACAAAGGTTATTAATACTGCTTTGACTTTGACTTTATTTCATTATTACAATTTTTACGCATTTATTACAAGGATTTCTGTTGACCTGCCAGGATTGATCTAAAATCCCTGATCCGCATACATTTTACTGAAGTGTCTTTTGAAACCTTCATGGCCCATAAGTTTGTATTCCAGCCAATCCTCAATCAGGATTTTCAAGGTCAGAAATGAGGAATTAAAAAATCTGTATATGAATCTATTTGTTTTACTAATTGCATTGTCAGAGTTACATTATAGCTGCCCATTCATATTTGTACCACACATAAGTAAATGAATAAAGGTCTTGTTACATTGAGATATTGTAATGTTCTATAGTCTTAAGGGATACAGATTGAACAAATAGGTTAATAAACAAGAAGCCTATCTTTTTGCAGAGGTTAAACATTTACTATGGGAGAGAGTTTATAATGAATATTGTATTGCTATATTACCGTAACACAAGAGACGTACTGTCTACAGACATGCTTGCAGCTCTGTGAGGCTGCAATTTTCGGTCCCAAATTTCAAGGCAATCCATCCAATAGTTTCATTTCACTCTGAAGAACCTCCTGGTGGTGCTAGAGGAAAAGTCGGGATCACCAAATTCATTGGGATACATCCCCTGGGGTCTATGAGTGTTGACAAAATGACAATGCCAATCAGCAGGCTGTTAGTAGCTCTTAGTTTGATGACAAAAATCTCAGTCTCCTCACAAAGCTAAGTTGCATTACTACTTTGACAAAATCAGCTTTTTAGCTGTTTGCCCGAATTGTCAACATGTTCATCAGCACGTGGAGTTTGCTCAGTTTGAATTTACATTACTAATCACTGATGACACATGGACGACGCCTTGCAATGCAATAGTGCTGACACACTGATAATTTGTCTGTCTAGAACTGCAGTGTTACCACAGTGCAACACTTTCATCACACTGAATTGAGCAACTGTACTTGCAGGAACCGATGACTGTTTGCCGTCTGGTCTCACAACAGATTCCCAATCCTGCATCTCATAATCTGTAGACAGCATTTCACACAGCTGCTAGAATGTGTCATATTCACGACACATTCCACCATTTAAACACACAAAAAAGATACAGTTATAAGATATGATCTATTCAAACAAACACTGCACTAATTCGAGAACGCCGTTTCTTCATCAAAAGCCAAAAGGAAGAAGTAAAAACAAAATGTGTTTTGAGTGCTTATTCGTCTAAATTAAATAGGAGTGTGAGAGGGCTCAGCGGAAAATTTGGCAACAAATATTTTTAGCATGGCATTTCATTTCAACTTTAAAATGAAATGTCTCACAAAAGCTCATTGATGCGAAAGGCCTTTTCAGCCACAGTGATTGCGAATTACTTTAAGGAGATTGGTTCCTGCCATTGCTCTGCGAGGCAAGTTGTTTGCTCAGCGGCAGCATAAACAGAGAGGGGAGAAAGAGCCGCTCTCTTTCTTTCCATGTGTCTACTCTGTGTGGTCACATATACAGTATGTGCTTTCAGGCATGCCCATTTGTCTGCCCATGTGACTTCGGTAAAACTTACACCTTGGGTTCAGTATGATGTGTTTTTTCCAAAAGAGAACTTGGTAATGTTGTAACAAGGGAGTGTTTGTTCTAAGGGGTGGAGTGTGAGCTGTGAATGGAAAGAGAGAAGTATGAACCAGATAAACGAGAAGCAGAGAGAGGAAGAGAAGAGACTTTGAAGTTAACTTCTGTTTGTCAAAAAGCAAATGAGAACATAAAAAATGCCACCGACCCCTCCCAAGATAATGCTGCAAAGTCTTGCATTAAAGGGTACTATATAGAGTGCAGGGATGACGTGTGTTTGTAGGCCAACCCTCGGAGGTTAGCACCACACTTTTTCTCTCGAAAAAAAATGATGTTTTTGGGGATTATTGCAGAAGATAAATTCTAATTTAGCTTCTTGTTCGCAACCTTTTTTTTACAACAATTAAAAGCTTCAAAATTTGCAACAGGGGTATTTACTGAGGTATTTTACATTGTAGAACAACACTTTAAAATCTCTGAAGCTTGTGTTAATCAAAGACCTTATTTTAGGCATCTGAACAAACAGTCATTCAAAAAAACCCATTGACTTTGATAGCAGGGAACTGGAAGTGCTCATTTCATTGCCATGTAAGCTCACCGTTTCTCAACCAGGTCAAGCTCCTAGTGGCACTTGCCGGTATTGCAGGGAAGGTTTTTTGAGGTTTTAACGCAAAAAAAATGTAATTTTCTCTTTTTACTGCGGCAAATTAGTTTGTTTTATGTGTAGACTACTTGTGTATTATTTGAAATAGGTAATTTTACCTTTACTGGTACTTAACCCTCTAAAAAGACTCTAAAAATCACAATACGCTGTATGAGACTGGAACAGAACGAAGGAGATAAATCAGCAGTTGCAGTGGAGAAGAAGCTGCTGGTGTGTGTTCGGCTGCAGGAGGTGAGAGCTCCACAGAGAGAGGTGACACTCTGGAAGAAATACATGTTGTGCATGTTTACAGGGGGGTGCGGTCGCAACTGGGCCGGGGCTCGCCATTATGGGTTATGCATTATAAAACAAGTTGTATCTACCTTAAGTAATCACTGGTTTAATGCACCCCGGGTGAGCACGATAAAGTAGCACGAATCACACACACACACGGGTGCATATTGTTAACATGCTAATGGTGAATTGTTGACAGTGGTGACTGGTTGTACTGGGACAGAGAGGCTGGGTGGGCTGGTTATATTATGCTTTGAGAATGAATGAGTGAAGAAGTTGAACCTGGAGCAGACTGTGGAGGACTTTGAGGCGCTCAAGACTGGCAGACGGACATTCAGACAGGTGAGTAGCCTACAACAACATTGTCTGCGTGTGTGTGTGTGTGTGTGTGTGCTACTTGCAGTTTCTCCTATATGTGTGGTTGTGGGCTGTATTGTCTATATTGTTTTATTATACATCTTTGTGTTGGCCTTGGTGATGTACTGTTGATTCTATAAGAAGTGTCAGGTTATTCAATTTATGTGGCTGTTGCTTGTTACACCCGCCGCAGTGACTTCTAATTTACTGTCAGTCATTGTTGTTAAATTGTCTGCAGAGTCCTCTTTTCTGGTGAGTTCTAGTTATGCTATGGAGAGGAAGCTGGTTGTACATTTATAATAGATGAGTTGCATGCACAGGCTGCAAAGTGCCATCTGTAGAAATAGAATTTACTGTTGGTTTTTGACATCAGGGCCGAGGGTGTGACGCTCTTCCACTGGTGTACGTTGACATTGAATACAATTTATTTTGCAGCCCAAGGGTGCAGCCTATGTAATACCTAAGAAGACAAAGTTCAGGTGTCGGATGCACCTCTTACTAAATTATGCTCTTGCAGCAAATGTCAAGAGCCAGAACAGCTGCATGGCCAGCTTACTTTACGTCCCATGGCTGGGTGACTTGAATGTGGCTATTTACATGTACTTCTCATGCTCAGTCACAAATGTGCCAATGGGGATACTAGTAGATGTCAGCTGAGCCATGAGGGGTTGAGTACCCAACAATGTTTGGGAACCACTCAACTGAAAGTGTTAAATATGCTGTCATTGATTATTGTGTTCAGCTTACTAATTGGCGAAACACTTCAGTGATAAAAAACGACTTGTCAGGGAGTTGGATACGCCTCCTGATCGAAAGCGAGATGCAACAGTGAAAAGATGACTAATAATTTGTCGCACCTCAGGCATTGAAGAATGTAACAAACTTGTTGCTAAGTTATGCTAATACTTTGACAAATATATCACACAGGTTAATTAAGAGTGAGGATCCATGAGATGCAACACATTTCCAAAGTACATATCTGAGCCTTAATTGCTCCTCAAGCCAAACTGATTACTTGCATCAAAGATTGCTCCGCTACGGTCATCAAAGCGATGATGAAAATGACATGTTCATGAAGATCACTAGAGGCGGAAGTGTTGATTAATGGCATTGCCTCTGCAGCGTTTTTTTGTTTTTGTTTACTTACACAGTTTATAACATTAGGAACCTTCCGTCACCGCTTTTATCTTGTTATTTTCCATAATTCACTGCAGTAAAAGTTGATGTTGGTGTAATAGGAACGTTTTCAGGCAGATGTCATGCTGTATGTGGATGCGCCACAAACAAATACAGCTCATTGTTGTTGTTTTTCCCCCACCTTACATTTATATAGTCAGTCACATTTCAGTGTTAACAGTCTGCAAAGCTTTGTTCACGTATGCTGAAAATATTGCATTTTTGTGGAGCACATTGTCTAAGCCTTAGCAGCCATGTTGAATGAAGAGGCCTGTGCAATACAGTATATGACATGTTCACACACAAAGATAATGACTTTATGTCAAAATTCAAAGGCTCTGTTAACTTCAGTTTACGTCTGAAACAGAAAGATGATTTTCCACAAAGCTTAAAAAAAAACTTGATTTCTCTCCCTGTCATCTTCCAAGTTGTGCTGTCCTTTGTCATTGTCTTTCTTTATGTCAGGATAAATTATGCATGCAGAGCTACAAACAAAGCCCAGCCAGGCTCATCATTCAAAAGAAAGAATCACCGTAGCACCGCAAAAAAAAGAAAACATATTCTAAATACACAATGTCATGCATAATTGGATGGGATCAAAAGAAATGGTGCTATCATATAGAAAACTACAGTGCACGGCAGATTTGCTGTTCAAACAGATGACAAATGCTCCCACCTCCGTTCCCTCTGATCACAGGGGAAAAGCAAAACACATACAAAACATGTATATTTGATATTCCCTACCTTTTGATGCCTGCAACTGATTTACATACTTCCTCTCATACAAATAATATAATCTGTTCAAAGTGAGAGATGTCAAAACAATGTTTAACATCACAAATACAGCCTGTTTATATTTTATAATCTAGTTGATGTAGTTTTGTATACTTAATGTATACTTAATGTGTAACATATAATATATAAAATATATATTATATGTAATATATTTTCTATGGGTTAAACAAACAAGATATAACATATTTACCAAACAGTCATGAGAGTGGTATCACGCTTCTCGTCTGACTCTTGGCAAGAATGCAAAGAAGAGTATTTCCCAATCGTACCTATCTTTTATCTACTGCTTATTTTATCATTATCTTTAAGACAGCCTGTCGCAGTCTGTAATAATGAATAGAAACTCCGTAAACATGAATGTAGAAAATTCTTTGACTCATACAAACCGCAGTGACATCATGATCAGTCAACCTCTGAGCATGTCTACGATGTCGCTTCTTGGCAAACCTTTCAGTGTGGGCGACAGCAGCCTACCGAGGCTTTTATTTTTGCAGGGCAAGCTTTCGAATTATGATTATGATTGTGAGCATCAAGCAGAAGAGACAAACCCCCGATTTCCACATGGGAATGCATGTGTCTGAGCAGTAATGGAATGAGTTGGGGCCTGTTTTCCCAGCAGCACTTGAGCAAGAAGATCAACTTAGTGTCTGTGTAGGCTAATGCCTGAACACGATGATACTACTTCTGCTTATTTGGGCTTTGAGATGTCATACACTTAGAAAACATATGAGCCTTCCACTTGAAGCCCAAATCATTTGATTATTTTAGGGTTTCTCTTCTCTGAATATTTTGAATATACGTTGACTAAGTTCAGAAATAGCTTTGAATACTTTGAATGTTGCTCATTCTTTGTTTTAAAAAATAATCTGCATTTCACTCTGTGATATGATATGGTCATTTTAATCCTAAATATCTCTAGTAACAATTATCATGTGAAATTAACAACTCAACAGCAATCATATTTTTTCATATACAGTGATGAAATAACAGGAAATGTGCATCAGAACATTTAGGACCACGCTGACAAACATACAGGGAAGATAAAGATCTCTTAAGAGCATTTAAAAACATTTTTAGCTTTCACTCTCAATTTTTCTATTTCACTTAAATCCCAAACGTACACAGATACAGGCCCAGAAAACATTACTGACTATATGCTTATTGTTGAGTATTAATCAGTGCATTATAATATCTGCCAATCAAATTTGAAAGTACAACATATTTTAATATTATGTTATGCTTTTTGGTGTTTTTCCTTACATTGTGCATTCTGCATTTAAAGCTCACTTGACCTGAATGCTGTGACGTTCAAAAGTCAAAACTAGTAAAACTGTCTCTCATGTGGCCTACGCACTATATCATATTAAGTATGAAGTAAGGAAGGAGGAAATAAATCAAAGTTATAGTTTTCTTCAAAACTTTTTTCGCATCAGTGGCTTTTTTTTTTAGAAGAGAGACTCAATCATGAGTCTAGATTACAGCTTGGACGGGAAAAGTAGGCAGTATTACAACCATCTGAATGCCGGGCAGACCATAAATTGGCTCTCTCTCCTAAATGCAGCCGCACTGAATTTCACATGGGAGCTCCAAGAACAAAGTGCTCTCAATAACACTGTACTTCTCTCTCACACACACTCTGTCTCTAACCCACTCACACACAGACACAGACACAGACACACACACACACACACACACACACACACACACACACACACACACACTTGCAGGTATGTTTATGCCTCTGCATATTTCTTCCTTTATGTACCACACACTTAAAAGCGCATACAAAATGTTGTAAACATTCTCCACACACATGAATACATGATGACAAGAAACTGTACACTGTTTCCACATTTAAGCTAAATCTGTGCCCATTACATTGTGAGGTCCTTCCCATTGTTTGAACAATGTCTCTTGAGTCCAGGCTAGTTTGGGTTTTACACTTTTGAGACGCTCCCTCATTGCACCACTGAACCAACTGACCCGGGATCAGAAATCTCAAAGTAAAAAAAAAAAAAAAAGGATTCCTACACCATGTTCAGGGCGACCCTGTCCGGCGTCATCGACCCCGCCTTGACAGAGATCCACAAGTCGCCATCCGAATTCTTTTTCTTCTTCATTTCTGACCTCGTGGTTGCCATGGCGTCTTTGCAGCAGCAGTTGGCATGGCGACAGCAGCAGCAGTGGCAGCACACCACCAAAGTGGTGAGGAGGACCAACAGGGGAAGAGCTAAGAGGACCACCAGGCAGACGGTGTTGTACACCCCCTGGTTGTGTTTGTCTGTAGCAAAGCTCCAAACTTGGTTGAAGAAATCCTGGATGCTCTCTGTTCTCCCATCCATGGCTTTTAATTGAAGATGTCTGGCGGTTCTAAAGTTGAAATAAATCCTTTAGGGTCTTGTGAAGTTTGTAAGTCAATAAATGTGCGTATTAGGCAGCAGGATATACATCTGGTAAACCTCAAAACATCCACCGACCCATCGTCTGTCACGTCAGATGTTTTTAGTGACCTGACATTGCACTTTCGTGTGCTTCTGTTTCCTTCTTCTACAGATCAGAGTTTACAGCACTGTCTGATGAGGCTTGTGTACGTGCTCAGGCTGGTGTTTATGTTAATTGGAAACACTGGAAGCATGGAGGGTGACTTCATGTATGTCTTGTTCCTTGAAGTGCCCTCTGAGAAGGTTACAAAGCCAACGCATTCTTTAAACAAATCCAAAAGACCAAGAGCACATTTGTTTATGACTAGATCTTCTTTGAAATCGCCCAGTTGTGATGATCATGATGGGAAAAAGCCCAAATCCTCACTTTAGCCAAGTTTCTTAACACTGCTTGGCATTTCTTTCTCTTTGTCTTCTAGAGTTGTCTCTTGTCCTCTTGCCCTTTTGCCTTCAGTTTAATTTTGTAGAGATGTGGTTCAATTTCTGTGCGTCTGTGGAACAAAAGAAAGAGAAAAGTGAACATGGACAGAAATTTGGCTTCCAGCAGACAGCCCTTCCTCCCTCTCTCCTTTCCCTGCCTCCAATCCATCGTTCTGTCTCCGCCTTAAACGTCTCTACTCCTCCCCCCCCCCCCCCCCATGTCAGTGTCAGCTTCAGATTTTCAGCTTTCCCTTCATTAATACTGCAGAGGAGTAATTCAGGATTCAGGGCAGATCGCTCTAAAAGTCCCACTGAGAAAGACAGGGGCAAAGAGAAGGAGAGGAGGAGGAGAGGTAGATTGTGTCTGAGGGAAGGACAGACCCAGATAGAGGTAACCAATCTTTCTAAGAGTCCCGCTGAGACGGAGAGTGTCAGAAAAAAAAAAGAGGAGGGAGAGAGGTATGCTAGAGAGAGACCCACTGCAGGAGATTCATCTGAATATACCCGGCTAATGGCTCCCATTGGTGGCTTATGTTTTCATAAATGTGTGAATGTAACATTTTCTTCTGACCTCAGATTAAGTCTTCTCCTAATAGCTCTCCTGGAGAATAAAACGCAGGGCTGTGCTTCAAATGGTGAAGTAGGTCCGCTGAAGAAAAGTCAGTGTTAGAAACACCAGTGATATTGATCCCTTTTTCTCCGAGACTGTTTGATTAAGTCTGAGGCCTTGAGGCGACGTCTTTCTGTAAACAGAGTTCAACAACTTTTTTTTGTTTTTCAAATGATTTCAAACACCACTTGACTCAAGTATTTCCCCGAGATTCTCTATAGCTCTCAGCTAGAGCTTCTTTGTATTCTGGAGGGAGAAAAGATTTTCATCTCACATTTGGCTGCTTCATAGGCGGAGAGAGAGCGAGAGAGAGAGAGAGAGAGAGAGAGAGAGAGAGAGAGAGAGAGAGAGGAAGATGCACCTGCAAGTGGAGAGCAAATGGATTTGGCGTGGCTGTCGCCGTGCGTTGCGTCTCATGTGTGAAATTGGTTTACCAGCAGACAGCCTGCTAACTTCCCTTCTGTTCATTTGCTCAACAGGAAGCTGAGCTCTCTAAGTAGCAAGAGTCCTAAAACGTCAGATTGGGAGTTTTTCTCGGATCTAAAATAAAAATCATGTTTGAAGCTGCGCTTGCTACTATATTTGGTTAAATTTCTTTAACTTATATTTGTTTACTTAATTTTACATTAAAGTAAAAAAAATGATTGCACATGCACAGCTGTGTATTTTATACCAAGCATCGCTGAGCTCCATGAAGCTCAAAAGTACATTTGTTTTTGAATTTCAGATTTAATCCTTACATCATGTGATTCCCAACCAGGCGGTCCAAAGCAAACCTGAGAGGTCATTAGATGATGAAGAGGATAGGAAACGTATATCAGTGCTACACAAAATTCTGTTCATGTCTTTCCCACTATTTTTTATTTATTTTTTGGTGGATTACATGATCATGTTCCCTTTAGGCCACAAAAAGAACTTTCAAATAAAAGTTTAAATAAAAATTAGCTGTGTCGTAGTTCCATACTGTGCTGTACTTTGTAGTGTATTGTTTTGTTAGTATACAAAGAAACCAACATAATTATTGTTTCATACGAACAGGAAATGATGCAATAATTTTGCTGCACGAAGGCCCTCAACTTGACTTCAAAAAGTTGTCGAATGTGTTTCTGGAGCTCTGCAGCTGAAAGAATCTCGATATCCTCGTGTGAGATTAGTCTACATCAACGTACTCGTTACTCTTTGATTGAACTGCTCACAACCTGTAAACAAATGTGACGCGTGATGAAGGTTTGAAGAAAACATATTTTTCTGCACATTTGAAGCTTCAAATGTTTTCAAATAAATAAATAAAAAAACTCAAAATAAAGACAAATCAGATATGCGTGGACCATCATCCTCTTCAATGCTCATGAATACGTATAATAATGGGCACAACAGTATTTGATGGGAAATCATTCATTTTCTTTTAATTGCGCTACATTTGTGTGGAAACTCATAGTGAGCCACGATGTCACTGCCACATTATTCTTGCTCATTTCCTTTACTGCCGGTACATCTTGTTGTGATGAGCTCGACCGAGCAGAGGAACCTTTGTGTACACATTATAAGAAACACTGTCAACACGACAAGCCAAAGTCACCGAACAATAAGTCCGTAGCAGAGAGACAACGGCCGGGAGCAGCACAGAGGTGTGATCGAGCTATTTAAAAGATGACTAAGAAGGTATCAGGGGTGAAGTCATTGAATGGAGTGAAGTCACCAAGTGTTATGACAAGTGTAGCATCGGCCAGAAAGAATGATTCATGTGAGATTAGTCTAAAACGATCTTCAGTGTTCACACTAACCGGCAGAGAAAAAGAAAAAAAGCGGATCTTAAATCACTTAGTTATATTATTTTGGTCTTTTCTATGAGCTCACATACAAAGGCAGGAACAATTTAGTCATTTACTGCATTAAAATAGAACGTTTTCCAGCTCAGGTAGTTGAACACTTAACAGTTCTTTCTCAGCAGGCCATTTTTAGTAGTGTGACAGGAACAGAGGGCGTTCACCATGCAAATGGTGTATATCTGAGCTGAGGTTAGTTTGGGGTTTTAAGGTACAAAACAGAAGAGGTACTTTACTAAGAGAAAATCGCCATGTTTGTAGAAAAAAATGGACTCTAAACACATTTTTAAATGAGTCCACTGGATCTAGATATTCCCCTGATTCATATTATCTCAATGAGATGCCATTCTAAGATACTTCACTTTCCCATGACATTGTGCTCTCCTGGAGCCATTCATATACAGGAAAAGGTCACTTCTGGGGCTCACAAAGCCAGGAAGGGGCTGAGAAAAAAATGTTATGATTGCACTCAGTTAGCCCCTGCTGCTTTTTAAGGAACATGTGCGACCTAAAAGACAAAGTTGTGACAGAAGGCAAGGCAGGAATCTTTAATGACTCGCCCCGAGCACACGGTCAGAGCAGATCCCTCACCAGTCAGTATTAATACAGACACTTGGACACATTTTCAGTTTGACTTGAGTCAGCCACCAGCAAACTGTAAAGGCCATACTCGTTTGTTTGTTTTTTTGCAGAAAACATGAGCTGTCTTGGATCACTAAGTGCAGCTGTTTCGCTCGAGTAGCTACAGGCCTGCTGATAGTCAGTTCTCCACAGTGAGCAAGAGCATGTGTGCGAGCCCATTACTGTTCAGACTTGTGTCAACTCAATCCTGACTCAGTGAAATGAGCAAAGTGGAGGACATTCTTACAGCAGGAGGACGAAACTAAAACCAGCATCAGTAAATGTTTGAGCCAAAAAAAGACCCATGGGAAGTGAGTGATTGATGGAGCAACTGTAGATTATAACAAAGGACAAATGTTTCCATTTTATAAAATGAAATTTGAATCAAATGGTTCATTTTAAAAAGTCAAGAAAAGAAGAAGAGGATCTTATAGTGACACTCCGCGGCACTCAAAGGCAGGAAGAAATACATCAGCTCATCTTTGGAACTTGTCAAACATCCTGTCAAGTCTAACTGCTGCCAAAACAACACTTCTTCAAAAGGAGCCTGCCACAGTCGCAGCAAACAACAAAAATCATCAACAGCTTATATAAACCACTCATAATAACAGTCTCAAATTATTTCAAGTTGCTGGAACTCAAGATCTCTTTGAAAGCGACAACTTACCCCACAGGCACATGTGAAGTGGCAGGTCAGCTTGGCCCTCCTGTCTATTCCAGTCAGCTGCTCAAACTTCTGTTGTTTCTCTTTTGACATCTGGATTCTGCTCTTTTCTGGTCCCTCTCACCCAGACATCTTGACAAGTCTTCACTTTCTGTTCCTATTTCGCTCTCTGCCGTTGTTTCCCCTCCTCCTCCTCCTCCTCCTCCTCCTCTCTCTGTGAGTGAGTGTGTGTTTTGGTCACAACGTCACTGCACTCTGCCCACTTTGTGTAAGAATGGGCCCTCTGTCTTTGCTTATGCGTTTCCTGCATGGGAAACTGGGTTCTTGTGGTTGCTTTACGTTACTCACACAAGCGCTGAATGATGTCAGACAGCGAGGGATATTTGGGTAAACTGAATGTGAAAATCATAAGAAGCCTTTATTAAATGTGTCTCCAAACAATCTCCCCATGTTAAGATATTAAAAGAAAGGCTCCTCTACGGGTGCACTGATCTGAAAACCCTGCAACAACAACCTAAGTTGCAGGCAAGGCTGCACCAAATAACACAAAATTACAGCAACAACCACCCATCTCAGAGTCCCAGAACAGGGATAAAAAAGGAGAAACGAAAGCTGTTGAAGAGTGTGTGCGTGTGTGTGTGTGTGTGTGTGTGTGTGTGTGTGTGTGTGTGTGCGTGTGTGTGTTTTGTGAGTACCACCAGGTGTAAGAGCCAGATGCAATTGAGATATGAAAGAGTGAGGTCATGTGGACTGCATATGCACACACAGTTACTCTGCCTTGTGGTCATTCATTGCCCTTTCAGTTCAGTCAACCAAAAGAGGGGTTTTTTTTTATTCAAGTAAGAAAAAAGAAAAATAAGTGTTCTGCTGTCATTAAATAGCCTCTTCTATTCTATAGCCTAGTCTATTTATTCTCCTGTCCTGAAAGGGGGAAGTTAAAGTGCACTGACTCGAACACTGTAGAATGTGTGCATGTGTGAACATACAGTAACTCTGAAAGTGGTAATGTGGGCCTGCATATAATCAGCTCACATAACTATACTCCAAATTTCACTTTAATGTTTAATTTCAGTAAAACTGTTTCTTTCGCTCATGTTTCTTTTACAGTTTCAGTCTCCAAATTATTTACTATTCAAGAATTTGGAAAATAATAAAACAATGCTTTTTTCTAAGTAATGAATGAGGGATTTCACCTTTGACGCCTTTTTAAAGTAGCTGTGAACATATGAAACAATAAAATAAACAGGACTGTTGATGATAAAAGGAAACAATGGATGTGTCCTTCATCTAAACTATGATCAGATCACCACTTTCATTTTATCCTCACTTACTGCAGCTACATTTTGTCTGATAAACTTGAAACCACACGTGACCATCTGACTGGCTGAACATGCGGTGTGTCTTTTCATTGCTACGGGGCACGGTTACATGAAAATTGATGAGACAAGCCTCGCCATGTCTGCAGGTGTGTCTGAGCCATCTTAGACAAATAGCAACCACCCGCCCACACACACACACACACACACACACACACACACACACACGCATGGAGCACAGAGGGTGCAGTCTGACTGGCAGGGCGTGTAGTGCCACGCTGTGAAGCTACGTATATCCCAGCTGCTGTTGAGGCACTACAGTGTCCAGTCACCTCAAGCAAGTGTTGATTAATGACCTCAGTATAGCAGCACTTTCCTTGATGGAAATCCTTCTTTCCAGAAGTTTGCATGAAAATGGTTTCACTATATATTCTATTTGCTGCCTTTCATAGCTACTGCTGACTTCACTGCATGTTGATACTTATAGAGAGGCAGAGTGCCGCTCCTTCCGATGTACCACCATGAGAACCTATTTCGGTAAAAAATATGTACCGTAGTCATTGGCGAGTAACAAATAACTTCATGATCCCGCGTGAATTGTGCCATGAATTACATATATGTTGTTAGTCAATTCAAAAGATAATTTTGCATGTCAAGTAAGTCGCATTTTGTCGTAAAACTGTTGACTATATACAGGCTGTGAAAATATGCAATTACAAAGACTGCTCACCCAAAATTTGCATTTGTGAAGCTGAAGCTACGATGCCTGTGTGTTTTGTGCTTGGATGCACTCGCACAAACAGTAGATGTTGCTAGTTCTTTCGTTTCCTGACTGATAAAAAGAATCGCTTGATAAAACACACGATAACGTTACATTTGTGCATGTAACGCAGCCAAGTTACCTAGCGAGCTGGCAAGCCACGGTAACGGCCATGTTGAGACGAGCGGTATAGTTCACTGAATGGTTTCAGTGGAGGCCTAAAGAAGCGAAGTCCCTCCCCTTCCGGTGTCCCCCATGCGACTTTATTTTGGAAAAAATATGTACAGTAGTCAATGGCAAATGACAAATCTTTGTTTGTTTCATTAACTACACATATGATGTTTGTCAATTCAAAAGATCACTTTGCAAGTCAAGAAATTCACAGTTTGTCGTAGTTCCATTTAGTTGGATTAGACCTTTAGACTTAGATTTGATCTTCTTTTCAACTGTGAGAAGATGTGAGCAGTAATCTGAAAAAGCTGTTGGATCTTACGCAACGATGTGCCTTTTTAGGTCTGACTTTATTTTGTCCTTACATTATAAGGACCCTATTATACTTTCCCTTTCCTGTAAGTATACCTTATGTTCAAATGACCTGCAGTGACCCTCATATGCGTCCCATTTTCTCCATGGAAACCTTACTCTCAATACATACTTCCCTGTGATATAATGGCCCTCCCCACGGTTCATAGAAACCTTATTCTTGGTCGTGCTCACCTATGAGGGAAAGCTTAAACAATATACCCCTTTATCTAACTCTGGTCTGTAGCTGAACTAATTGCAGGAAAGACCAGTGAGCTCACACTGGATCACTGATCATGCAATTATGATAGCAAAAAAAAGTGACTGTGACATTACCAGTAGCATTAAAGAAAGCCTTGTGGGATTACTGGACTGTGCAAAAGGCCATTACAAATCACTACGACCTACTGGTTCTGCCAACACACACTGAAATATGAGTGTGTATGAACCTAACGCGGTGTACTCTGTAACGTCTTGAATGTGAGCGCTAATGAAAAGTGACTAAAGGGTTGCTGGAGTGCAGTCTGACAAGTGTCCAGAAATAGTCTGCTAATAAAACCAGTTCCCCCTGCGGGCGAGCCTTAGCTGTGATTCAGCGCTGTAAAATGTTTGGGGCCCGGTGCTGTCTAAACAGGCAGAGAGCAAGAACATGGCAAAGACATGATTAGTCTATATAAGGAATTGCCTTTTGCTCTCAAGAAAAGCCATCGTTGAAGAGCTCTTGGTTGGTGCGTAAACCTTTTACAAAAAGCTTTTACAAGGGCACCTAATTGCACATTCCAGCTATGAAGTCAGTCTGAGCTATTTTAACATCTAACTATGCAATAGTTGTCGAATGAAACCGGCTGTATTCTGGGAATAGACGTTATTAAACATGTTTCTCTTGGTTTGTGATCAACAGAACTTTGGTTCTATTCTGCTAAATAAACAAATAAAGGCGACGCATTATGTTTTGCAGTGAAGAAGTTATTTTCCTTAGTGCTTAAATTGAATCAATGGGGAATTTCTAAATTCCTCTTTTCTTCCCAGTACTTCCAAATACAGAGGAGGCTAAATGACACACTGTGGGAACAAAAAGTCACTCAAACTATAGTCAGCATTTTGGAAATTGAGTTTCGAGGCAACTAGAGGACAAAAAAATGGATGACTCATAAAGAAACAGCTGGTTTCTGAGTTCCAACAAGACACAGACATTTGATTGTGAAAGTGATAGTTTGACATTTTGGGAATTGCACTTACTCACATAGATGGATGGATGGATGGATGGATAGATAGATAGATAATGTCTCTGAGTTATCTAAACAGGGAATGGACAGTTGACTGTTAAGGCACATTAATGCTACATAATAATTGCTGTGTCATTATCTTTTACAGACAGACTGACTGGTGTTTCCTACAACCAGAAATATGTCTGATACTCTTGCGAGACAGACAGTGGAATGACCTTATGGGATAGCCAAGAACAAACGCACACTTCACTGTTTTATTCATTTTTTGTGAGTTTTTAAGTAAAATGACAACAGAAATGATTCTGACTGAAGCAGATTCTTAATTTAAATGTGCCGCTACAGGAACATTTTGACACAACAAGCAAGTTCAAATAGAAATGTTCACCCTGCAATGAGGAAAAAGATAAAACTAATTTACTTTTAAAACTCTGCTCAACCTCAATTCATATCAACATGACAGTAATTGAATGTTTTGCAAGCATTAATCTCCTCACCGTGTCACCATATTATCTCAGTATTCAGTCCCCTTTCCCAGCTATATATATATACAGTATGTATGTATGTATGTATGTGTATATACATACATGTCATGCTTATTTTCAGGCTCCTACTTGTATTTTGGTTTTCCTCTAGAGCATGTTTACATGCTTTAATATTCAAAAGACACATTGTTTTTCTTATACGGTCTGTCTGAATATACCTGTAGTCACCCTCTTGTCTGAAGCACTCCATTTCAGCGCCTGTCTCTTTAAGCCCCCCTCCCTGCTCTGAGGAACATAATGGTGGACCTTTGCAAAGGTAGTTTCCAAGCCGAGGGGTTGAGATACTCAGATGGGAGGCGGTATATTCTAATGTACTGCATGTGACATCGGAAGGGGAGTCAAATCTGAATGACTTAATGAATCACACATTTTTGAATCACACAGTTGGTGTTGACTATCATGTTCTTGTGTTTATGCAGATATTAAAAAAAAAAAAAAAAAGTCTAAATATATACTTAGGTGTCCTAAGCCTTCAGGAAGAAATTTCTCAACCCAAACCATGTGACACCATGTGCATAGAACGACCGTGATTACACACAACCACGGCATTTTTTATGAGTTACAGTTCGTGTAACTGGAGTTAAGGTGATGAGATAAACCTTTTCTTTTTTTGTGAAGGTTTATTCCCTTCAAGAATTCAGACTGACATTCCTGACACTCCTTGACTGGTTTATTACATTCTAGCATGATTTCTATTCAGTTACATTCAATTCAAAGCTGTGAATCAATGTGTGTGTGTGTGTGTGTGTGTGTGTGTGTGTGTGTGTGCGCACATGTGTTAGGTTT